CTGCTATGACCAACTAGCGCAAGACAATACAACTCGTTCATAGATCTGGAGGAGGGTTATTCAAAGTACCGGACGACTATGACACGTCACTGGGAAGGTTTTATCAAGTCCAGCGAGCAACTTCAAGATGATCTGAAGAAGGCCCTCCAGAAACACGACCGTAGTTGTTCTTCGAAGACGTTTCCGAAATCAATACTTCCCTCGAACTCCAGGTTCTCGAAGCCTTAGATACTATCTTGATGACGGTCATGGACATGTACTGTAACCACGCGTACCTTGCCAGTGAGGAATCCCCTGTTGTCCAACTACTGCTGTCTGTGAATCGAAGTTGTTTGTGTGGCAGACTACATATGCAAAGCAGGCGCTGCATTTTAGTGCTCAGGGGACTTTGGATTGATTAGGGAAGCCAATCAAAAACGTTCAAATTGTCCTTGGTGAAGCGCTCACATAGTTTATGCATTTCACAAATTCACTCTTGCCGGAATTATGTACAAACTTTTAAAGTCACTTACGGGAACCCCGGGTGCACTGTCAGAGTTACATTGACAGTGAACTTGGAATTTAACACGACTCTTCAGCAAAGGAGATTCGACTAAACGACGAAGAATATTTGATGGCATCGATTTTTGGAAGGTTACGCGCATGCGTAGCCTTACCCCGGATCCGGTGTGTATCAACATGTGGCACTCGCAGCGACACAAAGTCCCGGATCCTTTTCAGTGCCAATCATCTTCTGCGATCATCCCAAATTCTATCAACAAGATATTGTTCAACATCTGTCATTATGACCGACCTTACGAACAACCCTGCCGACTCGGGTGACTTCCGTCTTCCCCTAGACGTTAAACCAACCCATTATGACTTGACTATCAAGACTGACCTAGAAAACTCAATATTCGAGGGTGTGGTCAAGATCAAGTATGTCCACGCACACTGTCCTTCAAGCATCTTTGACCAATTTCATCAGCCTCGATGTCAAGAAGGAAACTTCTACTATCGTCTTCAACTCAGCCGATCTTAAGTTGAATGACGCGTCATTATATTCCGATGACCTCAAGATCAAGCAAGTCGATCCTTCTCCGTCTCTCGACGACAAAGCGGAACGCTGCGTACTTTCTTTTCCGACCCCTCTGCCTGCCGGCTCAAAGGCAACACTGTCCATTGCCTTCTCTGGGGAACTGACCGGGGCTATGATGGGGTATTACAAGAGCTCGTTTGAGCACGATGGAACCAAGAAGTACTACTCATTGACTCAGTTTGAAGTGTGTTTTCGATCCCACTCATTGTACACGCGTTTATGAATTGTTGCTAGCCCACCGCTGCCAGGCGTGCCTTCCCGTGTTGGGATGAACCTCTTCTCAAGGCGACCTTTGCGGTTACTATGATATCACGCGCTGACACGGTCAATCTGGGCAACATGTCTGTTGCATCGGAGGAAATCTACGAACCCCAAACGACCAAAGTAGACGATCCTTCTTTGGAGGCGCTCTTTTCGGCATTGACAACTCAAGACAGCCCCGAAGCGCAATGGAAGATTTCCAAGTTTCAGACTACACCACCCGTAAGTTAACGTCATTTTGGTAGTTTCTCTTAAACTAACAATTAGTCTACAGATGTCCACTTATCTGGTTGCATTTGCCAATGGATGTTTCGCGTACCTGGAAAGCTCTTATAAGAGTCCTTTGAGTGGGAAGATCCGTCCCTTGCGCATCTACTGTAGGGACCCGTCCTTACAGAATTCCGAGTGCATGAGCTGAAGTAATCTGGGCAGCTACTCCTGATGTAATTCACCAGGCCCAGTATGCCCTCGACATCAAAGCAAAAGTCCTCCCCATCTACGAGGAAATTTTTGACATCGAATATCCCCTCCCAAAGCTGGATACTCTGGTGGTAAGTGTCATTTGAAGAACCTCCTTTGTATACCACTGATGTGGCTTGGCGGTCTGAAGGCCCATGATTTTGACGCAGGTGCTATGGAGAACTGGGTATGAGTTGTCGATTTTCGTGCGCTTTAGTACTCAATTCTAGCAGGGCCTCATCACTGGACGTACCAGCGCCTTCCTCCTTGACCCCAAGAAGGCAGACGTGGCTGCAAAGAAACGAGTGACTGTGTTTCAGTCTCATGAAGTCGCTCATATGTGGTAAGTCCATCCCTGTTCTTCAAGGGATAGGTTGCGGAAACTCCCTTTCAGGTTTGGTGATATCACAACCATGGAATGGTGGGATTATCTATACTTGAATGAAGGTCAGTCTCATGCGACGAGTTTTGGTAACGTTGTTGAAGTGCATCTTAGGATTTGCAACCCTGGTAAGTTTAGTAGATTTAGACTTGTAGATTATGTACTCAGATTACCCGCTCCAAGATGGGTGAAGTCATCGTTGTTGGTATGTCTTGTATTCATGTACACTCACTGAACTCACTGACACTACTTCAGATCGGTAAGGCGACATACCCCACTCTCAGCATAATCATAACGCTTTTTACCAGTGTGTACCCGGAATGGAAGGTCGACAGCTCGTTTATATCCGAGCATTTGAACGATGCGCTGGATCTTGATGCAAAACTATCTTCTCATCCGATCGAAGTGCATTGTCCCGATGCCAACCAGATCAACCAGGTATGACCAGATCACCATATCACATAGAGCGTGACCATCTCATGCCAGTGATAATAAGATTTTCGACTCCCTTTCTTATGCCAAAGCAGGCTCTGGTAAGGCATCTAATTTATCTATTCGCCACCTTATCTCACGAGCGACGCTTATAAGTTCTGCGCATGTTGTCCAACTTTGTCGGCGAGGAGCGCTTTCTAAAGGGCGTTTCCATCTACCTCAAAAAGCATCTATATGGGAACACTGTCACCAAGGACCTGTGGCAAGGCATCTCGGAGTCCACTGGGATAGATGTGCCGAAGATCATGGAAAATTGGATTTCGAAGGCAAGCATGACAGTTCGGCCCACTAACTCCATTCTTACATATCTTCCATCAGATCGGCTTCCCTGTCCTCACTGTCACTGAGAACGGCAATGGTATTCACGTCCGCCAGGATCGCTTCCTGGAATCGGGGCCTGCAGAAGACAGGGACAATCAGACGATCTGGACCGTCCCTTTGGCCCTGCTGACAACTGCTGGTGATAACGTCAACATTGATAAGTCTGTCGTCCTTGACACTAGGGAGAAGACACTCGCCATTGACACCTCGAAGCCTTTCAAGCTCAACGCGGGGACTTATGGTGTCTGTAAGTCGAATTTTTTTTTGCTGATAGTATTTGATTTCATAGATATTTACAGGCCGCGTGTTGTACTCTGATGAAAGGTTCGCGGCGATCGCTAAGGAGGCTGCTAAGGGTGATGCTGTGTTCTCACTGAATGACCGCATTGGCCTTGTGCATGATATCATGGCATTATCCAAGGCTGGATTTTGTAAAGTTAGCAGTGCGCTGAACATCGTCGATATTTTACACGATGAAAAGGAGTGTGAGTGTTCTACACTTGAATTGGGTCCGAACTTGATGAACTTGATGAACTTATTATGCAACGCTCTAGTCCTTGTGTGGGACAGTATTGCTCGGAATATCACCACTCTTGTGTCAACTTGGTGGGAGCACGAGACTATTGTCAATGATCTAGATGCTTTCCGTCGTGTGGGTTCATCATTGCAAATATCTGTTTTGGAGTGCTGACACAGTGTGTACTTATAGGCATTGTTTGCGCCCATTGTCAAACGCCTAGGCTATGAATACTCCCCTTCTGAGTCCGTGGACATCTCTCAACTACGCACCCGCGCTGTTGGACAGGCGGCTGTCGCTGGGGACTCTGCGTATGTGTCTATTGAATGACGATCTGGGCGCAACCTGATGAATTTGCAGTGTGGTGGAGGAGCTCAAGACCCGGTTTGCGGAATACATGAGAACGCAGGATGATTCGAGGATACCTGCTGATCTGTTTAGGACGACTATCCTTACTGTGAGTGAGTTGTTGTGTGACGCTGTGTTGATGCTGAGTATTATCTGCAGGCTGTGAAGCACGGAGGTCGTGAAGAGTATGAGTTTGCCAAGGCATTATACGAGAACCCAACTACGGCTCCATCGAAGAGCATCTCCGCTGTGTAAGTCGGATCTTGTTTGTGAAGGGCGTTTGTTTTTAATACTTTTGTCAGAATGGCGATGTGCGCCAGCCAGGACGAGGCCTGCATCAAGGACACATACACATACATCCTCTCAAAAGCGCGGACCCAAGACATCGTATATTTCATCAACGGCTTTCAGACGAACTACCGCACAAGACGCAGCTGTGCGCAGTTCTTCCAAGACAACTACGCGGAGGTGAGGTGTTAGTTGAGATGCCGAGATGTTACATGCTGAACATTATTTCATAGCTTGCCAAACGGTACGAGGGGAACTTTTCGTTCAAGGATATTGTCTCGGTACGTTCCGGGTTGCTTCTCCGCTGTGACCAGCAGGACTGAGCGTGGATCAGTCGAGCTTTGGCAATTTGAGCAAGGAGGAAGACTACCAGCAGATCGTAGACTTTTTCAAGGTAGTGATATTTTTAAAGGCCGGAAACGAGGGATGAGCTGATGCATGCGGTGATCAGGACAAGGATACATCCCGTTATAACCTTGCACTGTCACAGACTCTAGAGTCGTTGCGTGCTTCGAGGGAGTGGATCAAGGTGAGAGAACGCGAGGATATGTGAGAAAGCTGACTGATTGGATGTGATATAGCGATCCACGACAGACATTGCGGAGTGGCTTAGCGAATGGAAAAAGGGATCACTGAGAAGTTCACTGCCTCGGTAACGTGAGGAATGACGGAGGACGCGTGAGATATGGTGGGCCCAGCGAGGAGCGAGGATAGTTACGTAACTGGGTGGACTGTAGGGCGGCGTAAAAAGTCTGTACTGAATCTTGTAGAACACGCGCCGACAACATCATCAGCGTCGACCGGCTTAAGCACTTTTTGCGGTGACTATTCTATTAATTATATTAACAAGTCGTCAGGGATGCCAGGTTTTGATCCAGTACGAGACGCTGTTTTGAATTCACCAGTCACTCAGCCACACTCACTTCCGACTCATAACCAACAAGATGCATCAGGCTATGGTCCACTTGAACTACCATCCCCATCATCATCACGTCCTTCCTCATCCCATGCAACATCCAGCCCGTCTTTACCACGTAGGGCAACAGATCTATCTGTCTTGTTAAACTCTGAACACCACGAACCACGAACTCCAAGTTCTGCTCGTCCTTCAAGTCTCTCTCATCTCCTCCTTTCTGATGATTTTGAATCAGAAAAGCTCAGTTCTGCACCCTCATTCCAACGGAGATTGCCCCCGGCCATCGACATCCCCCGTGAAGACTACTCGTTCTCACGGCAGCATCCACCTGGCCCTTCACGTTCTTCACTCCCACTCAATTCATCTTCCCCCTTTTCTTCTGATGTCCCTCCATCATCCTCTCGCATCCTTCCAACTTCCCCCTTGACTCGCTCCCCAATGACCCCAAGACCTTCCTCCTCTACCACCCAAACAACCTCCTCCCCCACGACGACGACGACGACGATGCGCCCGACTCTGCCCTACAACCCACGGCAGCGCTTGACTCCCGCAGGCTCCGTCCTCGCCCCCATGTCACAGGATGAGATAAAGCTCTACAAAAACTACCGCGGTATCGGTACCCAACGTCTCATGAACAAACGCAAAAGAGTGCCGAGCAGAGAACCAGACGACTACCAACAAGAGCGTCCAGCCAAGAGGCATGCTGGCGACGTCGAAATGGTCGTCGATCACTGTAAGCGTCTTCCACCCTGCGCGCCCCACCTACCCTAAACATCACTTTCGCAGACAATTTGCGTCCAGAGGTGGGTGTAAAACAACGCAAGGAGTCTCCCATCATCGGACTCAAGAATTTCAACAACTGGGTGAAATCGGTCCTTATTACGCAATTTGGCCATCCAGCCCTCGGTACAGCTAAAAGACGTGGCAAAGTCCTCGATATGGGCTGTGGCAAGGGTGGTGACCTCATCAAATGGGGGAAGGCTCGAATCCGAGAGATGCTGGCTGTTGGTCAGTCCTTCGTTTGCTTTAATCGTCATGACCCGATCTCATCAGTATTGAATAGACATCGCAAACGTGTCCGTCGAACAAGCTCGACAACGATGGGAATCTATGCGTCCACCACGTTTCGACGCCTCGTTCGCTGCGTTGGATTGCTATACGGAACCACTTACAAAAGCGTTTACGCCCCAGCAACTCGCACAGCCATTCGACGTTGTATCCATGCAATTTTGTATGCATTACGCGTTCGAAACAGCGCAGAAAGCTCGATGCATGCTCAAGAACGTCAGCGAGTGGTTAAGGCCAGGAGGGATATTTCTCGGGACGGTTCCAAACGCCGACCAGCTTCTGTATGTCCCTTAAATCTCGTTTCCTTCTCGCGTCCGTGTCGCTGACTTTTTCGCGTCGATAGCGCGCGACTAGACCAACTACCACCTGACTCTGAAGATCTTTCTTTTGGAAATTCAGTGTACAAGATCCGGTTTGAAGAACGGACCTCTCGACCGCTTTTTGGCCACCGATACTACTTTTATCTCCGCGACGCCGTCGAAAACGTACCAGAGTACATAGTCGAGTGGGACAATTTTGTACAGTGCGTCTCTGTTTCATGTGGACATGCCCCCCATGCCAAATTGGTATTGACGTGTCTTTGCATAGGATGGCCGCGCAGTACGGACTCCATCCCGTCTTCAAGAAGGAGTTCCATGAAGTGTTTGAAGAAAACAGGGAGCATGGTGATTTCAAGCCGTTGATGGTCCGTATGAATGTGTGCGACGCGAGCGGCGCCAGCTCGATGGACGATGAAGAGTGGGAGGCAGTCAGTAAGTTCCGAATGTCCTGGTGTAATATGTAACAGCAGTACTAATGGGACCTATTTTATGCTTTAGACATTTATATTGCGTTTGCGTTTGAGAAGAGGTGATAGTCTCACAAACTATGGTTTCTGTCCGTTATGATATTTTATACCTTTTGCTTCCTGCCAGCTCAATAACCACTACTTAATACGATTACCGATGTTAATTGCTCCCCGATATACAGACAAAAAGCCCTATGGCCCATGCGTAAAAACATTGAAAGCGGTGCGATAGCACGGCGGCATATAGAAATCGTTGAAACGGATCTGACGAACAGCAAAGAATAAGGTGTCCCACTAAGATTACACAAAGATAGTGCGACATTGATTGTAAGGATAGAAGCGAAAAGAAGTCGTGCATAAAGTTACTCCTGACCAAATCCAACAGTTTCCCTGGTGGAGAGTTTAGCGTGAGCTGATATGTTAGTTATGATGGGGACTCACTCTACAGCAAGCGTGAGCTTGTGCTCCAGGCTAGCATAATCTTTGTATGGTGGAAGATCGATACGATTAAAGCACGTATGACTCTTCGGTAGTTGCGATGGGTCACCAGACTTTTCTATGGTAAAGCGGCGAGGTCCATCCGAGCCTTGAAGGTCCTTGAAGCCATTGACAGGAATCCTAGATGTCCCCGTAGCGAACTGAAGCAAGCGGGACTTGCGCTCAGGCGGCCAGCTGCGAATACACTTCCAGAACCACTGTATGACCTCGTCATTCATCTCGTATCCGCGGTAGTCGGTATGCTTAGTCCAGTCATCTCTGCAATGACGTTCAGCCATATAACCCCACGACTCAAGTCAGGAACCTACACGTCAATCTCCGACATGCCGCCGATCAAGAGCTCCAGTTCGCGTTCATCGAAGACGGTGATGAGGTCCTGTGGAATCAACTCGCTGAAACCCGACATGAACGAGTCGAATTGTTCCTTGACACGCTTTGAGATGCGATACTCGACGACGGCGTCGACGTATTCCTTCTTATTATCCTCAGTCACGTTGACGTCTGCCCCTCCAGGACGAAGTTCAATGTTGACCAGTTCGCCGAAGCGCTCCTCAGTCGTTGTAAAGGTCTCATCGATTACGTCCGTGATGTCGTTTTCCCTGAACAAGCGTTGGGAGAAATTAAGACAAAAATTGATGAAGACACTTACAACATCCAAGTCAGCCCACGGTGCAACTCAGCGTCGACAGATTCAAGGTCCGAAAGCGTCACCTTCTTCTTTAAAATCATCTTGTAGAAGCTGACAATGAAGTATGCATCGAGGAAACGACGGTGGAATATTCCGAGACCAAGACAGCGACCGATGAACTTGAAGTAGTTCAAGTGCTCTGGGTTGACGCCTGAAGCGGGATTGATTTGAAGCGTGTAATTGTCGTGAGCGGAGTATTCGAATAGACAGTAAAATGGGTTGAACATCTCGTGCGACAGAAGGAAGAAGAACTCTCTGCAAAGGATCTTAGTAAATGCACAAACTCCTTGAATTCAGTCCAACTTACCGTGACAAACCACCGTAATCAAGACCATCCTCTCCATCAAACTTAATCATGAGTCGTTTCTTCAAGTCGTTCGGCGTCTGCCTCATGATCTCTGCATAACTATCCTCGAAGATATGGTTCCGCCGCACTTTGATCTGGCAGTTGCCTGGCTGTGCACGCATAGCAGGCTGACTTCGGAAGTAGATGAGCTTCCTCCTAAAGTCACGCTTGTACTGCGGAACATTGGCATCAAGCGTAGATGGCATGCGTGGATCGTCCCATGTGGTCGTCTTCGTGTTGTGGTCCACGAAATAAACACGCGCAGTGGATGTGAGACGCATCTCCCAACCAGAGGGCAACGGACCAAGCTGAGATATGGTCTGAGGCTGCAAGGATGTATTCTGTCCATTAGGGCCCATGACACGGATGATGGTCTGACGCCGGGGATCGACCCAAGTGGTAGTGCGCGTGTTATGATCCACATAATAGGGTCGTCCTTCGGGGGTGTAGCGCTCCTCCCAGCCGGCTGGAAGACTCCCAGACCCAGCTGTAGTAGCACTTCCACCCGAACCAACGACCGTCGATGAAGCGTTAGCCGACGCGGGTTGCGCGGTCGTCGACGGGCTGCGGTACGCGTTGCCACCCGCAGCACCTGGGGTGACAACATCGACCATGTCGTCGGCGAGTATACGGCGGGAGTGCTGGTCTCTCGCAGCATTTGTTTCACTATCCTGATTGTTATGATTTACAGTTTGGTTGGGTGATGGTCGGTTCCAAGTTGTTGTCCGGGTATTATGATCAACATAGTATGTTCGACCAAGTGGGTCAATGCGACGCTCCCATCCAGGAGGTAATGCTCCATACTGATCAACATTAGGGTTGAAATTCCTCTGTTGTGCGTTGTGTGCGTTGGTTGCCGATTGTCCCGGTGACGTGGCTAAGGAAGGTGCTGTAGATGGGGGTGCGGCAAGTGCGGCGTGCCCACCGCCTGAGCTAATGGGACGACCCGATGGAGGCTGTGAAGACGACTGTTCCACCTCAGCGCTGGTCGCCGAAGATGGTATGTGGGGCGTCGGCATCTGCATCAACGGCGCTGCGGCGGGCTCAGTAGCAGTGGCGTGTGAACTGGGTGGACGAGACAGAGGATTACCTGTTGCTGGAGCCGCGTTAGGTGACAAAGAGAGACTTGATTCATTCATTCCCATGTCGGCCAATGCAGAGGTAACGCCTTGTACTTGGGAGGGTCCAGGGTTGCTCATGGGCTGGTTGACGTTTGTTGACAAGTATATGATGAGCTTGCCATGAACCACGAGGTTATCATTGGACTTTTTTAGATCCAACGTCAGCATCTCTATCAAATTGGATAAGATGAATCAAACTGCGTGTAAGAGTGATTTGTGGAGGGCGCTTACCATGACCACCCAATTCAAGATCGAGCACATCGCTAACTTTCACATTGACCACGCCCAAAAACCCTTGGTCGCGCCTCTTGAACTTCCTCTGGTCAAATATCTGCACAGCTACCACCGAGGAGTCTTTGACGGTGCTGTGTACAGGAGACATTAGTCATGAACTTACTGGCTGCGCTCGACCGACACCAAACTTACATGTCAAAACTCTCATTCCAGTAAGGATTCAGAGTCTTCTTTATGACGCTGGTTGTATGAGTTTGCTCTGCATCTACGGTAATGACTGCGAAGGGGTCCGGTAGGCGGAATACATCACGCTTAGACAGCCCATCTGCTGCGACAACTGTCCAAAACATACAAAATGAGTGTCCTCCGAGAACAATATAACTATAGAATCTTACCTGTGACCCTTATCTTCTTCCTGCTACGATGAGAATCAGAATGAACGGTTGATGGTAAGATTTCTAATATCTAACTTACAGCGCATGCGCAGGCGTCGACATCGAGTTGAAAGGCGGGCCCAAGAAGGGATCAAAGCCTGAGACAATTTTATTCTTCGGCGGCCTACGGTATGAGGAGTGGGTTCGCTGTGTCGGACGTTGACGACGTCAGAAAGATGTGGGGAGGACGAACGATTTTCAGATACCGACCGCACCGCCCATACGGCAATCCCCCTCGGCACTAACGTGACCTACCTCTGCACTGCTTCTAGCCAAAATAGTATTCAAAGTCACCATGCCATCGATATTCATAGAGATCCACTACTTCCAGTACCATTGCAATGTAGTGCAAATTCTCAATGTACTAGCAGTGGCAAGCGCGAGGGAAAGGCAGTGGTCTGCTGACTCTGCTGAGCGCCGAAGCTAGAGGGTTCAAACTATATAAAATGTACAGGAGCTACCGACTGCTTGGGTCGCACATAATCCTGAGTTCCGTTCAGACTTCGTGCACGAGGTACGTCGACTTCATGGTAATCTATTGAATCCTTGTCTTTGATAGGGTTATCTTGACTTCGCGTCCGCTGCGAGATAGCACCCTGCTTTAGGTCAGCTGAGCCTGCAGCTACATCAGAATACTCACTTGCAAATCACCCCCGCTGGCAATTGACTTCAGAAAGAAAGCCTTTGCCTGTGAAAATGTACCACGAGGAATGACAGGCCCGTGAAAACCTCGACTTGGATCTACTAACTCGGCTCTTTCTGGCCATGCTCCGTTAATGCCTGACATGCGAGCAACTCTGGGCTTATGTTTTGCAGTGACAACATGCGAGTATCTTGCGATATCTTGCATCGGATCTTCTTGCGTGGCAGAACTAGGAGTGTCCCCTGAAGGCGTGGTATCGGCGAAGGGGTTCTCGGGCATGCACATGAATGTGTCAGCTAAAGACTGCTTGGGCCTTCGTGATTGTAGAGATGAACATTCATTCTATTAAAACGTATCAGATGGCAGCGCTCGTAGTACGTCCGAGAACACGTTTTTGTCACCCACAGCTGTGGAGAATGCTGCACCACCAAAAGACGGCTCCAGAGATGTGCTCGGCTCTGAGCAGTGAGAATTAAATGACATCTTCCGACTTCTGGGCAGGAACAACTTACTTCGGCGTCCTTGAGTCTGTTCAGGCAAAAAAATATTCAAAATCCATGCCATGAATCTGTTGGAAGCTTACTTTATGTTTGTCATATTCGTACACGGATTGGTCGCTCAAGTTTTCCCTTATCATCCCACTCAAGCGAGGCTACAAGTCAAACGTCAGAATCATGGACACCCAGTGTATTCGGGACGGCGCACCGCAGCCTCCGGAACGACTGCTGGTGTATTCTCCCGGACCTGAGGAGGGCTACGCATCATGGTTGATGATAAAGGTGATGGATAAAGGTGAGTTACAGACGAGCCTTGGTTGTACGATTCCTGTCGCTCATTTCAAATATGACGGCGCAGAGGCGTGGTCCGAATTATAATTCAAACTTTGTCACCATTATCGTGTCCCCTCAAGTTGGCCATATTCAACAGGTTTCAATAGGCGTTACGCACGTCCCAACGACACTGCCTTTTAGTTCTACGCTCTCCACCGAACGCGCCATATGCTTGGTGAACATACTCTCACCCGTAGGTTATAGAAGCGCGAGCTAAAATTAATTGAGAGAAGATCACGTTAGAACTTTCGATCAAGTTATCGGAAGGAACAAACTGCCAGAATTGTACAATGATCCGAGTGAGAATGCGATCTGCGTGAGTCTGCCGGAATGCTCTAAAATTCGCTGCCAACCGGGACGCGTGACGAAAAGTCGGGTGGTGAAAGATTCGTTCGGGCTAACCGAGTGTGCAGTCGGCACGAAAACGGCCTGTGAACGTAGGGCGCCGATGCGGATATAGCGGATGGATGTGCAACAATGAGCACCTTCATGGCATGAGAGGGACTCTTTGGAGTCTCTTTGGCAGGTGCGCGCAAAGTACGGGATCCAAAGTGCGCTAACGAAGCGGTGAACTGGATGCCAAGAATCAGCGCTCAGCTTTTGCGCGCTTCATGTTACAGCGTGGGCTGTTCATAGACGCTGCATAGCACCACGAGGAGTGTTAACCATATCTTCCCTGGCTGTTCCTAAGTCGACCCCGAATCTCACGCAATGAGGCATTGCCCGATAAGCTGTGAGAGCAGTAGCGACCCGTTGTCATCAATACGATGGCAGCCAAGTACTGCTGTTGGTGATTATAGATTCTAATATCCGTTAATATTCCGAGAAGCTTTGTTTCCAAAGGGTCGTACTTGATAGACTTTGTTACGCTGGTGCGCGAACTTCGAAAAGGGAGAAGGCGGCATCAGTCCACGACGTTGTGTTCGTATTACCTACATTTACAACAGTTGGACGTGAACAAGACGTGAAGCAAACAAAAAAGGTGGCACGCGCTGATCAAGCAGGGGACGCCTCACCCAAAAATGACCTCTTCATTAGGTCACTTCAGCCAATCTAGTTCCGCGTCAATAAACGAAAAATTCTGCACCCTACGAGCTCTTCGTATTTAGTCCTCTTCACTCCTTCCCTAACCCAACGAGTGAACAAGTAAGCACAAAGATGGACTTGTCGTTACAAACGGTAGATGCTTGTGTGGATGTGGTGCCACTCTGGTACTGACACTTAGTACAGGCGCACCAGCATGCAGCAAATGCAGAGGATTACCGCAGCCAAGGGTTGCTCATCCCAGCTTCAGAGGAACATATGAAAGCTGCAGAAGCGTTTCACGCTTGCGAAGAGAAGTCACAGGACGCCAACGTGCGTACATGAGCCCTTGTGTCATATCTAGTACCCCTAGTGACCTGCGATGTCTCTCAGACAAAAACGACGCTCCGTATGCTATACAACGAACATGTAAAAGCTGGCAAGGAACTGCAGAGGAGAATTGCGAAACTTCGTGAAGAAAACCAGGACCCTGCCCTGCCGCAAAAGACCTCGCCGAGGCATGCACAGATTCATACGCACAAGAACGGAGGTGGCTCAAATGCCGTTCCTCACGCGCCCGTTCCTGCACCTTCCGCCCCACTGCATGCTAGTAGTTCTAGTCGATTATTAGACTCACATAACAATGTTGACGAATCATTTATGGTGCTTGGGCAACAGGTGCGGTTATTATATCTCTTCTACCCAATGACCTTTTACAACTTTGCACCAATAGTCTGATCCGGGTGATGCCTTCAATAACTTTTGGAGAATAATGGAGGGGATGCTCGACAATTTATCTCAGCCCGTTGCCTTTGCCACAGCCCCTCTGGGTACCGAGCCACACCCTTCGGGAAAGAAGAGCTCGCGGCGGGATGGAAGTTCAAGTAGTGACACCGATGCCGAACAGCCCCACACGTCTAAGTTTTTTACACGGTTGGGATTAGATGGTAAATTTAAGTCAAGTAAGTGATCGCTGAACCCGCCTTATCAATAGCTGTTTTATGACTTGCTCGTTCAGAAGTGGACACCTTGCTTGAGGAGACGGATGAGGAAGTATTTGCGGACGAAGGTGCGTTGGCACATTGTTGATGGACTTGGCGTTACGAAACGAGATCTCCAAGGTAATGAGCTATCAGAGTCATTCTACATGATTCCCTCGGATGCGGAACCTCCCCGGTCGGTTTTGAAGAAAGAAAATGCATCTCTGAAGCAAGATCTCGAAGCTATGTCAAAGCGCTTGGCGGCTGCTGAGCGGATAATGCAGCTGCGCAAGGAACAAGATCAACAATTACGCGAAAGCATTGTGATGGCGCGACACCAGGTGATCTAACACTCCTTCGCCGCTCCTTCCATCGGACTAACTCATTGCCGATCCTTTCTATTAGGCACAACGAGCAATGGGCGCCTCAACGGTAATGACAAGGCAATCCGGGCAACAACCGGTAGTAGACCTCGGCGCTCTTAATATCAATTTGCCAGCCGTTCCAGCACCCTTGACAGCATTGAGCGTTGGCCGTGATCGGGAGGCACAGCTACTTGGCCGCATAAGGGAGTTGGAGGAAGACGTTCGAGTTGTTCGCACGGAGAATGACAAACAGGTGCATTGTGAAGACGTGTGACGCTTTTGTCTGCCATTGACTTCCCTTGCAGAAACTGACGATCGCACGCTTTCGTGAGCGATGGGAAAAGCTTAAAGAATCATCAAAGCGCAAAAAAGATGCCAAGGCTGCTGATGCAGCGAAGATGGGTGTGGGTGAACGTATCGTGGAGGAGCCTGAGGCCGAGCAAATGTTGGATGAGGCTTCAGCACGCCTGCCGACGTAGTTGATCCTCGCACGTGTCTCGCGAATGTGATCGTTGATGTATCGTCAGTCTGATATACCATATAGTCTCCGTTTTTATTATGGATAATGATCTTTCAGATTGGTTCCTCGTTGTCTCGATGTCTCGTTGACAATGCGACTAAGCGATAACCCCCTGTACATGACGTATGCTCCTGGTGGAAGCACGATACGCCCTGATAGGCCCGAACACATGTTTTCGTTCTCACTGGGGCCACGTTGTCAACATGGAAAGAATCATATCTCATCAGCTCTCATCAGATGGCTAATTCCCTAGAAACTTTGAAAGTGAGATCGACGGTTGCCGACTACATCCATGCGGAAGGCGGCCCCCACGTCACAGTATGGAGCGGACACGAGGAAGCATACCTGATACTATGTACATCTTTCCACGAGGTGCTCCATTAGGGGTGCGATAAAAGGATGCAATTGAGCCGCCGATATGTCTGAGATAGGGATCGAGTTATGGTGAACAAAATTCATAAACTCATGGGAGATCACGCCCCAGGCATCGATATTAAGATCTGGAGATCGGGTCCGAGAAAGTTGAGTTGAAATGCAGAGTCCGTTATGTAGGAAGCCTAGACTGCAAAAAGGTTGTAATCGACAATTCTCAAGGAATCTACTGCCCTATAGAAATCTAATGCGACAAGTTGTTCCTGTTCCACTGTGACGGCTCCATTTTTTCCACGTCCTTGTCCTGTTTCAATCGGAATGTTGAACGAGACTACAACGTCGTGATTCTTTCCGTTGACGCGGAAAAGAGCCAATAGGGTGCGAAGGTGATGAATTGACTCCGCTTTCTTTAGAATCTGGCGTCCGTCGAGCACAATGGGAGAAAGTCCATTTGTGGTGGGTCTTTGCACAAGGATAGAATTATGTTCCATTGAATCATTGTCGTCTGCTATTGCGTCAAGGTGGAATCTGTGACATCCTGGCATCAGAGCTTCATGTAGCACATGTACAGCATCAGGAGGACACGAACTTCGCTGCCGCTTCCGGATCTTCGATCTCGACTTTTTGCAGGATGTCAATGATGATGCTTGCACCAAAATCACGGTACGCAAATATTTCCTGGGAGTCTGGGATCTCCTGCATGTTTCTGAGATTAATTTGGTCAGTCAGTGGGATAGAGTATTCAACAGTGAGTCATACGCGACATTGATCAAGCCTGCAGGTAAATCGGCCTTCATTCCATTGTCTCCAAAGAGATCCACTGGAACATGGCGGCTGCTCATTTTGTGCAGTAATTGAATCGAGAACGTAGTAGATAACAAGTTGACTGGATAAGATCAGAAATAACGCATAGTTTATTAATATCAAAAGGGGTAGTGGCACGGTCACGTGCATATCGCATAAACATTTGTTTTACTGCTGACCGCGACGTACGACGCGTCCAGCACATCAACCTCATATTGTAACCCTCCATCGCTCACCGGTCAAATGTCGGAAGCACTTCGCCGCTCTACGATGCAACCTGCCACTGATATATATGGTAACGCTCGGTCAGGCCTACCAATGCCATCAACAGCAAAGAAAGCATCATCGTCTGCTATGCGCATGTCGCTCGCTGGCCCAGCAGCCCGCACACCCTATTTGCCCTCGGGAGCGGGGTCCGGCTCAAATACAGGGCATTCCGGTTATCGGTCGCAGACTGCGAATCCACTGCTACAGAGTACGAGTAAACCAAATTATGGGCGTACCCCTTTAACCAAGTATGTACCTTCTCTCATCTCGCCAACGTTCCTTTCTAACTGTACCCTTCTTTCAGCTCCTCTAGGAGGGGCTCAGTATGGACGGGAGGCGCGTCTATTGCTCCTCCTTCCGGCAGTCAAACATTCAAGGACCCGCGACCGATTCGCGACCGCCCGTATCAATCAAAAATGAAGCAAGAAATATGCTCTTGGCTGCAAGCGACAGAATTTGATATCTCTATGCAAGCATTCTCGAATATTACTGGCAAAGATTACCGAGCCATGTTTCAACATCTTGTGGCTATCGTGGATCAGGGATACCCGTTTGACCCTCGCCTTCGCTTTGAGGACGAATTTCAACCCGCTCTTAAAGCCCTGCGATATCCGTTTGCTGCCCAAATTGACAACAAATGGTTAGCTGCTCCCGCCAGCCCGCACTCATGGCCTGCTCTGCTGGCAGCTTTACATTGGCTCGTTGAGATGGGAAAGGTTATTTACGCTTCAATGATAACCAGCCTTACATTAACGATTTGCTTCAGGCCCGGCTGAATTACTTGGAGAGCGAGGATGATCCTACATTACAAATTGTCGATAGAATCCCCGAAGAGTTCAGCGACCCTATTCATCATCAGGCGCTTGCATTCGAATACTTTTCAGAGGCATATGTCGCTTTTTTTCACGGCGCAGATGTATTCCACGAACAGGACAAAGCACTAGAAGCTAGCTATGGTACGTCTTTCATCTCTTCAAAACCAGTTCCCTTTGACGATGTAATTGAAGCGAAGAAGAACGAGAGGGTGGTCGGCGACTTAGAGGGCAAGAAAGCATTACTAGCACAAGGATTAAAGGAGTTGGACGAACTTCAGTCATCCAAGGTCGGCCGCATGTACAATCATTTCAGCGAATGGCATATGCTCAACATTGATGCGTTAGGCGCCTCTGGAAAAACTCCAGAAAATTCGGGCTTGCATCTTGGATGATCGAGCCAAATTTGACGACGTTTTGCACCGCTTGGAGTCACGAAAGAGGCAGCTCACCGAATCTGTAGTTCGCGAAAAGGCAGAGCTCGCTGCTCGATGTGCGTCATGCAACTTAATAGCGGGTGAATCATCGTGAACTCTGAATTTCAGCTCAGAACCTGGATCAACTCAAAGCCGAGCATGAAAAGCTTACCGAGGTGGTCAAAGTTCAGAACTTGACACCAGAAGAAGTCATTCGCATGAACACGGACCATGAAACGCTCGCTCGCAATCTGGAGGACCTCAAATATAAGATTTCCGAAGCGCACAAGACAGTGATGTCTCTGGAAGTCATAACAACTAATCGTGGAGCTGCGGCAGAAGAGGCACTAGATCTCTATGGCAATTTACTATCAGCCTTGGGTTTATTTCCCCCACTCCCGCCGCCGTTCGACAACATCGACCTCAGGTTGGAGCTAAACACGGCCACTGCGAATCCTCAGCAGCTACTGCTGGGTTCCGACATTCGCAAGGTCATAAAACCTACACTAAGCAGTGTAGCCGAGATTAAAAGAACAGAACGAGCAGATATTGAAAGCGAGCGCATCAAGGTGGATAACGAGCTTGATCATTTGACTTTAGATTGCGAGAATGTCGATGAGGAGGTGCGAGAAATTGAGAAGAAGGTGATGAGCCTGAACGAGCAGGCGGATGACCTTCGAGATGTACGTTGCACCCCACCACTGCGCCGCAGTCCTCATTTCATATACTTTGTTGTAGGCTGCGCAACAAGAGTCTATGGTAAGCAATGCCGAAGCTGCCCGATTGGAAAGAGAACTTGCGCATGCGCGCACGGCCGCTTTATCGAGTGGAATGGGAGTAAAATCAAGACTCCAGGCATTGCAATTCGAGTAAGTCGCCTTTTTTCCGCTTCAACTAATTCATCTTTTCATTACCGTCTGCCAGCTATCGAGAGCAAATAGCGAAGGTCTCACGATTGAAAGATGAGACTATCAGAGCTATTGCCAAGAACAGCAATGAGATCGGTCTCTTTAAAGAAGAAGTTTCTGCGCAACTGCGGCGCCTCAGAGATTTTGTAGAGGAAGGGAACTGATGAGTACACCTGTTAGGTGGCCGCAATATACATGAGGAATTTGTTTATAATATATGTATACCCTGATTATATGTTACGCTGCTACTTTCCATAGGCGAAATAATGCAACGAGTCCAATTGCATGTAAGAACTTCATGACCTGGACTGACTATGATTCTGCATATGCATGTAATCTGGCACGCCCGGGGGATTTGCTGGAGAACCCGATCATGACTATCTAGTACCTGATCATGACTGTACCGACGTTTCTACGCGTGCGCGCTTCTTCCTTGGTCATGTGGCATTCGAAGCTTGAAGGTAAGGTTGTGTTCCGAAAAATAAATTTAGAATTGATTTCTCTGAAGATATCGCGCCAGATTATGCCACGTTGTGGACGCGCTTGATCCAACGTACGTTGATCGGTGAGCTTTGTATTGCAATTGGCGAATGCAGACAAGATTGACAGACTGCTTTGGTCCATCGGAGCCGTTATATGATGATAATACGCACGCGTAACTACTTGCAAGTAGCGACCTCTGGCGAAGCGTCGTTTCGCAGGTTAATATTGGCTTGCAACTTTTTTTTTGGTGGCTAATTTACATGATGATATGGCATTGCTACAGCTTGGAGACTCGAGAGCTTGAGGCGCCGGCGTTGCAAAGATGAAGATTTCCTTTTTGGTCACACGCGCGCTCGCTTCTGAGAATTTCAATGACTGACCAGAACATTGATGTGACTTTCGCACACGCTAACATTGAAAATCACCACAGCTTGCGAATCCATGTATGTTTTATTTGGTAGATCTGTGCTGTCCCACTCAAACTCAGCTCATTTTAGCTCACAGTGAGATGCAGTTCTCAAGCAGTACAGGTCTTTGTTCTCATCTCCGGGGGCGCTTGGACAATTTGAACTTCCGTCTTCCCAGGAGTACCTTCAATTCAATTGAGTACACGTTCCGTGACCTTGAATGTAAGCCTATCGGCAATGTCACATGTGTAAGTCCCAACAATCCTCTGCTGGTTGCGATAGGCTATTTCGGTTTTTGTCCCGCGCGAACTGCTCCTCCGCAGAGGAAATTTCTAATCCGCCACTGTCGGAGCCATGCATACTCATTCATGATTCACCCCGACGTGCGCCCTCCGATGCAGTGATCATGTCACATCAAACAATCCTTTTCTGGGAAGGCGAAGAAATCAAGTTGACAGGTCGCCATCATCAATTTCCATCCGGCTTTGCCAGCTATAATCATCAGCCAAATGTATTAAAGGCGATTGGACCTATTTGAAATTGAATATTATCTTATCATTGCAGCACTGTGATTATGTTCACGCCCTTCATCTCTCTGAATGCCGGACGGTCACCCAAGTGCCGGAGTCTTTGCTGTTCACATCCTGTGTCCTATTTTCCAAAATGTGGCAACAGATTAATTCCGAGATCCAGTGTCGATTGTCATTCTCACAAGTTGCCTTCTTGGAAATATCTTGGAAAGGACCCGCAGCTCGAGACGATAAAAGGATTCAGACTGAATGTCGGAAAATTCAGAGCCTCGTCCTTTCTCTACTACGCCCAGTGGATAGGATCACTTCGCAACTTTTTGGAGCAAGATGTCTACCAAACCTGCCTTTAACAATGATGCAGAGAAAGGGACACTGGATGTCCGCTCTCCTCAAGTCACCGACCTCGCCAAGAGCGAGAAGGCAGCGGACATTGAAGTGTTCGCCGTCCAGTCCCTCAAGAAGGACGCCCCGGTCACTCCCTCAAATGTGGCAAAGCCCCCGCCAGCCCCTGCAAAACCTGCGAAGAAGAGAGCGCCATTGTGGGTTTTATGGGTAATCTGGTACAATTCATATCGGTATAGTGTTATTCAACAACTCATGTGGTTCAATACTTATCACCTCTAATTTATCAAGACGGTTCTTTACGGTCATTTTTATCGTCAATTTCATTGGCCTCGGCTTTGCGATCGCTGGAAAATGGGAATACGCCGCAAGGTACCCTGGTGCATTGGTCGTTGGAAACTTGAACGTCGCGGTTCTTGTCCGCAACGAGATATTCGGCCGTTTCCTGTACTGGTTCGTCAACACGTTCTTTGCCAAGGTTCGTGACATGAAATTTTAATACTTTCAATCGTGAGTGACGTACTTTCTGTTATAGTGGACTCCTCTATGGTTCCGCCTTGCGTGTACCTCTACGTTGCAGGTCAGTTTCAACTCCAGATGATGATTTCAGAGACCTGATGTATTTCTACAGCATCTTGGTGGTATTCACTCCGGATGTGCAATCTCCGGTGTAGCTTGGATCGTCCTCATGGTCGTGCATCAGTTCAAGACCAAGTACCTTTTCAATGATTCAATCCTGGCTTTCGGAGTAATCACCACAGTCGCTTTGTTCATTACGATCTGCGCTGGTCTTCCGTGGGTCCGCAACTCGCACCACAAGTGCGTATTCTTTTCAGCCATTCCTTCGTCGCAGTGTTCCTGACATTGGCACCTAGTGTATTCGAGCGGAACCACCGTTTCTTTGGATGGACTTCCTTGGGCATGACCTGTAAGTTCAGCCCTAACGTACGACAGCTTATGAATGTGCTAATTTTTTTCAAGGGATATACACTATTGTGACCAATGCCTATGACACCGCGGACGGAAAGTTCGATCACGTCGGTTTATACGTTGTCCAACAGCAGGCCTTCTGGTACACGATCGGAATGTCCGTCTTGTAAGTACTGCTATGCGTCCCTTCTCGATTGCGTTGCTCATAGTGGTTTTAGCATCGTCCTGCCTTGGATTTGCACGAGACATGCCAAGGTCGACATCGAGCTGCCCTCTCCGAAAGTCGCTGTGCTCCGCTTCGAGCGTGGTATGCAACAGGGTCTCCTTGCTCGTATCAGTCGCTCTGCTGTCAAGGAATACCACGCTTTCGGTATCATCTCGTGGGTGTTCAGTGTCGTAGTTACGCGTTCTTTCTAACTCTCCACAGTGAGGGGACTCATGCCAAGTATCACTACTTGATTTGCGGTGTGCAAGGCGATTTCACCAAGAGCCTTGTCAACGACCCGCCGAGGAGGATCTGGACTCGTGAGCTGAAGGTAAACCGGCTCAAAGTGTATTTTTTCGATCAGATTGCTAATCACTTTTTCAGTTCGCTGGTGTCTCCAACACGTCAACCCTTTACAAGCGTGGTATCCGTATCTGCACCGGAACTGGTCTTGGTGCCGCTCTTTCTACTTGCATCCAGTCCCCCTACTGGTACTTGATTTGGATTGGTACGATAATTTAAAATCAGGTATATGCAGATCACTGACGTGTGTCCGCTAGGCTCCGATCAAGAGAAGACATTCGGCCCGACCATCAGTGGCCTCATCCACAGGCATGTTGGTCCAGAGCGCCTGCTCCTTTGGGACTCTAAGGTCCGCGGTGGTCGTCCACCCACCATGAAGATCTTGAAGGAGGTGTACGACTACTGGCAGGCCGAAGTGGTGTTTATCACCTCAAACTACATCGGTAACTCCGAGATCCAACAAGGATGCAAGGAAGCCGGCATTCCTGCATTCGGTACTCTTTGGGATTTCGTAAGTGACTCTCCAGAATTTTATTGTTAATGGAGCTGACGAGCATGCGTTTTGTCAGTAATCTTTCCAACCAGTTCTCTCACGTGGGCATGGGACGCATCAAGCATCAGGCCGCCCACATCTTGTTTCTCATCCTTCTGTATCCACTGCACTGCTCATTCTACACCTCCGGGAAATCTCTCAATTATGTATTTTCGGGAACCAAGTTAGCCGGCGTATCAAGGTTCCATTTTTTTTCCAACTGTGACCGCGAGTGGTACTTGCCGGCGCAGACGGCTTGGTCGAACAGCAGCAGCACCAATAGAGTTCGCCCGCGACATGGACGCTTCTCGTATTTATAATTGGATGTGTTTTTATAACTCTACCATCTTTACTCTTTCATTTTTATAGCTTGTTCGCTGTCGCGACGCACGTAACCTATGTATTCCAAGTACTTTTATTTGGGTGCTGGAAATCATTAATTCGTTGGTAACAATCATTCTTAGAGCAATCACATTATATTATTGGAACTATAGAGTGTGCTCGAGAACCTCGCCAGACTTTCCCATCCAATTCCAGCGACGATTTGGATTGATGGATGTATTGGGTTCCAAACGAACACCACGACGAGCAAGCTCAGTCATCACGCGTGCTATGTTCCGTGTGTCCTGTGGGAAGAAATGACGGTGTGAAGATGAACAAGAATATCAGCAAGGCGGGGTTGCGTGAGGACGTTGGGTACTGACGTCAATACCGCTGTGCAAACGGCCCTGAAACGCTGGCAACCCGAGGGCTTGCAACTGCTGCGGTATGTTCAATGATCGAATATGAGAACGTGCCGGGAGCTGACGAGCATCGTGAGTTTGTGAGTCCGCAGCGACAGAAATTAATAATAGATACCTTGGTCGTGGTTTCCGGATTGCCAGACGAAACTGCCCAAACGGAGACAATTCTCCTGACATCAAGAACATCCCCTTTGAGCCAAGGTGGCATGGGCGCCTGACAAGCGATAATCAGATAAAGAAATTGATCAAACTTTTAAGTTGGTTCGCGTAGACCTGCGTCGAACGACTGACTTTTGATATAAAACACTGCTTCACGACGAAATCCCTTACGTCAAAGGGTCCGTCACTGCACCAGCAGAAGCGCTGTATAGGTCGCCCACTCTTTGGATCGATCAATCCATGATCAGTCAGAAAACGGGCAAACATCTTCAGAACCTTCTGGAAGTTTGGCGCCGAGTTCACTTGAGCCTAAATTTTAATCATGACACGGCATCGAAGTGGAAGCATCGGACGAACTTGTGTGATCCCGGTCAGATCCATGCAAAATTGCGACAATTGAGGTCTCCATGTCGGCTTGACGAAGCTCCGAAACTCATCTACAATTTCCAGCTGGCAAGTCGTTCCTACTAGGTTCGATTTATCTTTCCAGCGCATGAGACAGACGGGCCACTCCTATGTTAGCGCGACGTGGTCAGGAACCGGGTGTAACAAAGAACCATGTTAACAACAGATAAGACGAACTATGATTTCATTAGGCCACTGAAAGCCGGTCCCCTCTTCACAAGTAGCCTCAACGTCCAAAACAAGGAAGGCATCGTAGGGTGGCTTCACACGATGCTCTTTTTTTTGACCGACTTTCACGATCAGATTTTTTTGAGCCGAAGATGACTTTGAAGGAGTTGGTTTGTCAGATATTTGCGAATGCGGACGATGATATATTGGAGGGATGTCTGAATCATTTAAAGGCGCTTGACAGGAAGAACCTTGGGCAGGGGGTGCAAGCAGCGAAGGACACTCTTTCAATTGCTTTCCGCGCCGTGTAAAGACTGTGACAGACCAGATAACAAACGAAGCAATTAGAAGAACCTTCCAGTTGATAGCCAGGAGTTGAATTAGGGATAGGAGAAAGGTCATAAAGGAAGATAGGCCATCGAGGTTGGGGTTTGCTAGCTGCATGGTGACGGTATCAGACTGGCAGGGGCGTCCTAAGTGATCGACACTGACTTAGTAAGTGACTACTTAGAGTTCAGTTCAACGTAAGTTGATGGTAATAATCTGACGAGCAGGCTAGACAAGGTCTACTTGCACTTCGGCACTGTCCGGCAAGCATCACGGTTCGCGGAAGCAAAAAAGATTTCTTGGCTATTGGACCATTTCTAAAGCTTGTTTTCGTCATTGTTCTCACCGCTACATCTTGTCTCACAGCAGCATGAATGGTCAGCGGGGTGATGACTTGGACGATGACTTCGTGCCAGATGAGCTCGTAGCTACTTCTGGCGAGGAAGATAATGGTCCAGGAGACGATATAGGCGGTCTTCTCAGTGCAGATGAAGATGCCGAGGAAGTGGCCGTTGATATCAAGGAGAAATCAGCGACAGACAAGAAACGCAAGCGGAGGGAGAAGGAAAAGGAGCGCAAAATCAAGGTTTGTAGTATGCATCTATCGGCTCGTCGGTCTCTCACCGACGATCATTATCTTTCGCAGAAGAGGAAGTTGGCAGAAACAGTGGAGGTTATCGAACCTATTTCAGTGGCAGCGCAACCTGCTCACAAACTCGCAGACTATGTGACATCCATGCAAGCCAAAGCTTTCCCTGCAATGTCTGGGATAGAACTCGGTGACGTCTCGATCCCCGGTAAGCTCAACTACATTAGTCCTCACAGGATGATCTCAATTTAACAATCAGACAGAATCATCGATAGCGGATACGACGATATGGACGGGGTCGAGATCATTAGACAACCTGGTTGAATTCATTATCACAGGTGCCTCTTTTCATCTTACATCTCGCAAATTTACATTGATAATATTGTAGTTCTTCCGACATTACACACCCGATTGTCGCAAAGGTCCAAAGTTGCTGGAGCTCCAACCCTGCTGTTCATAGCTGGAGCCGCACTTCGGGTTGCCGATGCGACCAGAGTTCTCAGAGATAAGAAACTGCGTCGTGAGAAGGGTGCAGATGTAGCAAAGTTGTTTGCGAGACACTTTAAGCTGGAAGAGCACGTTTCTTATCTCAAGAGGTCAAAAATTGGTTCTGCTGTTGGCACTCCTGGAAGAATCGGGAAACTACTATGTGAAACTGGTGAGCTAAATACTATCTTGGAATACAACTCTCTCAAACTTTCTCAGACGCCCTCTCGGTGTCTCAGCTCACACACATTATCCTGGATATCTCATATCGGGATACAAAAAAAAGAAGCTTGTTAGATATCCCAGAGACTCGGGACGAAGTATTCAGAACTGTCCTGGGGGCGCCGAAGGTACTCAAGGGCCTTCAAGAGGGAAAAATCCAACTGGTGCTTCTCTAGTTGATCCCATAGGATTAAGTTAGAAGTACAATACCACAGTCTATATGCATAATGTAATGTGAGAGCAGCATTTGAGCAGCATCGCCTAAAAGCCCTTGGGATTGACTCTTAGTGTAAGCTAGCAAGTGAAGCACTTCAGTATACAACACCCAGTCAACGAGAACGAACTCACTCTAGTCCACTTGGGCACTTTGTGAATGCCCTTTCGATAGCCTTTAGAGGTTGCACTGAATACCGTGTATTTATCTTTGGGATCCATCTCATGCTCTTTAGGCAGCTGCAGTGCCCTTTCCTGAAAGTATCAAAAAAATTCAAGTCATATGAAACACAGGGAGAGCAATTCGACTAGCTCACCAACGCGCCGCACTGTATGCCACTGGCTTTGACCGTTTCAATGACTGCGTCTACTTTCTTTAGACGAGCACGCGCATTGGCTTTTCGCGTGATTGACAACTTCCATGGCGTTTTCCTACACAACAGATGATGAGCAAACTCTACGGAATGGACTACGCGGCTTACCAGAGCAGACCACCTAGATTCACCGACGTAGGACGGAAAGCACCAAACATTTCGTGTGCAAGCCAATTAATCAACTAGAAGCAGTTTAAGAGTTGTTGCCGACAAATGCCGAGCACCCTCATTTAGAACTCCGATAAGACTTATTGAACGGCGGTCAAGCTCTTCATTGACATCGCTCACGTCGACAACAACGTTGCAACCATGGCGGTAGAAACACAAACAATGACTGTCATGAACGGACATGCCTTCGATGGTGACGTCGACATGGCAAATGGCATTCGGGACCCTTCACTCAGGTTTACCAGTGGACTCATCCTGCCACCCCCAGAAATCAAATGTAAGGTCCTTCCATTATATACCACGTTCGTGTTCTGAAATCTGCCTGTTTGCAGCTGTCATCGACAGAACAGCATTGTTCGTCGCTCGGTCTGCGAACCCACCTCAGTTCGAGGATAAAATTCGCGAGAACCAGCGTCAGGATCCAAAGTTCTCGTTCCTCAACCCTGCGGATCCTTATCATGCTTACTATAGGCATCGCATGGAGAAGATAGAGGCTGGAGAGGAGCTGGAGGACACTTCGCAAGAAAAGGAAAAGGTGGACGGGGTAGAAGAAATACCAATGATTCCAGAAGATCTTGGTGTCGAACCACCTCAGCCGCAATTTGCCATGGACATGCCCAATGTTAGCCATATTGACTTGTGTGTTGCCTCGTCATATCTCGCAAGAACGTGGCTAATGATTTATGTCAGAGATATCATGAAACTGACTGCACTTTTCACTGCCCGTCGCGGACGGACGTTCTTGGCGACACTTTCGCAAAACGAGGGAAGGAACTATCAGTTCGACTTCCTGCGACCCACACATTCTCTCTTTGGTTGCTTCAACCGTCTCGTGGAGCAGTACCTCAAAATTTTGTATCCAGGTAAGGAGATGTTGGCGGAACTGAGTAACCGGGCGCAGGAAGGTGCGAAGGGGGCAGCGTTGGAGCAGTCAAGAAAACACGCCCGTTGGGAACGCTTGAAAAGGGAAAAGGATAAGAAGAGGCAAGATGACCAGGAAGCAGAGAAACGTACGTTGCTTTTCCCTCGTGCCAACAACCATTTATGATTGTTTTCTTTAGGTGCATTTGCTGAGATTGACTGGCATGACTATGCGATTGTTCAGACGATCGATTTCACGGTTGCTGACGCAAATTCAGAGCTGCCACCGCCAATGAGCGTGCAAGAAGTGGAGAGCATGACGCTTGCTCAAAAGAGAATGGCTGCTATGATCATGGAAAACACTGCGGATGAGATTGAGGCGCACAAGGCTAGACAGGCTGCAGCAGAAGCCGAGGCGGCTGCAGCTGTCAGTGGCGTTGGGCTTGGGGCTGTTGAAGACGAGGACGCTGCAATGGAGCAGAGTGATGACGAAGACGATGAAGCGCAACTGAGGAAGAAGAGTGAAGATGAGGAGAGAGTGAGGGAACTTGAGCGCGCCCGCGCAATACAAGCAAGTGCCAGCATTTCAGGACCCATGAAGATCAGGACAGACTATGTTCCAAAACGTATGTTGTCAGTGTTGTTCCCTCTGACAGTCAACTTACCTTGAATATTACAGTTGGTGCTAAGAAGGGAGCTGCCCTCACGACGTGCACGATTTGTGGACAGCATATTCCTGTTGACGAACTTGATGAGCACATGCGTATTGAACTGCTGGATCCCAAGTGGAAGTCTCACCGTGATAATCTCGAAGCTCGTAAGGCTCAAGCGTCCGAGCTTTTGCGTGGTGCAAACGTGGTATCGTCACTCAAAAACTTGGCCCGTACGCGTGTGGACATCTTCGGTGCCGAGGCGGAAGAGGAAAGGCGGAAGAAAGAGGAAGAAGAAGAGAGGGAACGCCGAAAAGAGAGGGAGAAAGTTGTGTGGGATGGTCACACTGCGACGAAGGTTTCCACGATGGACAAGTATTCGACCAACGTCAATTTCGACGAGCAAATTGCTGCGATTCATCGTGCAAAGGGTCTTGGACCCCAGGATGCCAATGCGATCGGCCCTGGAATTGGCCCTGTATCAGCCCCTCCACCTGCAATGACGGGTCTCCCTCCTCCTCATGCTTCATTACCTGCCCCTCCTGTGCAATCATCCGGGTCCGCTTCTTACTCTTCCGCTACTGTTTCATCTGGGCCACAACCTGCATCGGCATATCCGCCTCAGGCACCGCCGGTCATGCTCCCACCCCTTCACTATCAAGGCCTCGACTCTGCGCAGCCGTTCGGTTACCAGCCCCCTGCGGCAGGGATGCATCCTTCTCGCATGGCTGGTATGATGGCCGGTGGTGTGGGAACGCCGCCACACGCAGGTATGGTGCGGAACGCGGACGAGATGGAAGGACTAGAAGAGCAACCCGCTATCAAACGGCAAAAGATTGCGAAACTGCCTGGTGGTGCCTTGTATCCCGAAGCAGACTGGACTGCTATGCATCCTTATACCATATCGCTATCGGTGCAACTTCCCAACGACCCGTCCAAGCCGGAATGGAAACTTAACGGGCAGACAGTCACTGTTACCGATCTTCCTCTGACTCTGCTTGTTTCAACGCTGCGTGATCGGATAAATCAAGTTCTGGGCAGCAATCTTCCACTTTCTAAAGTTCGAATATCGTATGCGGGTAAGATGCTGACGAACAATAGTACTATCGCGAGCCATAACTTGGAGGAGGATGATCTTGTTGTGCTTAGTATCACTGCTGGTAAGAAGAAGTGATTGTTTGTACATTTATTCTTGTAACATAGGGTGCATAATTCTATGAAGACATGGTGTGCTTTGTGAAGTATGTGGTTGTGGTACAATACATAGTAAGAGTGTTTAAAGTAAAGTAAATCAAGATTGGAAGATGAGGACGCGACAAGTTAAAACCCAATGAAACCTAAGACCCAATAAAAAATAACCTAAGACCCAAAAGAAACTAAAGAAGGCCGCTGATACGTAAACCCGCGATGACGCTCTACTCATACCCGCCGCCGGGTGTCTTGGTCGGCAATAGCAACCATAGATGGTGTTGAAGGAGTCGACCATGAACGATGCAAGGAAGGTCTAGGAGATAAAGAGCCCCCTGAAGATGATGGTGATGGATCCTCCCGTGATGACTCCCACTGCTTCTGCACTGAGGTGGCTGGCAGCGACACCGCACTCAAAAGCTTTTCATCAAAAGTGTCCTGCTCCCTGTTTAATGGCACCATGTCTCTCAACCATTCGTCATCCTCCTGGGAAGGGGTCGTCAGGATAGCTGGTTTTCGGCGAAATACGCTGTACGGTGACGAGAGGTGAGGGGAATTTGCAAGGGATGGAGGTACCGGCGTGGGATCGCACTGCTTTGGGATGTGCAGCGATACGGATCTGGTTTTGCGGGTGTTTCGTGAGGGAGCGTCAGACATGTTCGACGACGGTGACTACGACGACAAGTCAGGGGACAAGTTGCAGTAGGAGATTGCTTCAGAAGTTTGATTTTTAAAGGCAGAGGGGGTCTCAGCCTGGTCTTGATACATATCATCACGTACCTCGGAGGTAAAACCAAATATAGTATTAATAATCAATTATAGATCTTCTTTAGATCCAAGACCCTCCGACCAGGCAAATTCCGGGCGTAACACATTCGGCAACTACTGACGGCAGCACTTCCCCAGGGAATCCCCGCACACAAATGACAAATTTTAGTTAACATAATGATCGAGTCCTCGGAAAAAATAATGGTAACCTAGTCATTCATCTAGAGCGTACAGGAAACTATACTTACAAAAGTTCAAATCACAAAACTCGACGGCAGAGTAACGCTAAAACTAGCACAAGCAGCACGCAAATCGCGGTATCAAGTATTAGGGGAGGCCGGTGCGAACTACGACGCATAAATTGCGCAGTTCCTCCACCCATGCGCATTTGTCTCTCTTCTTCGATCCTATCGGTCTGACGGACAGGAGTAGGTACCATTGGGGTGGTCGAGCTGTCTTGGACAACTTCCACCTCCGCGGTGACAGTAGGTGGGGCCGACGACGGTGACAGCACGTTGACATGCTTCGATGACGATCCCTCCCGGGGATCAGGCAGATGCTCTAGATTACATTGGCTACATTGTGGGCAAACCCACTCCCGTGACCTTAATGAGTGGCGTTAAGATTCATTAAGTGCAATCTAGACCGATGCTTACAGTTGAGCCAGACGCTTGCGTTCCGAGATGGGATATTCGACGGAACCAACACCAGTAGCTGCCTGACCCTTCAGAGGGAAAAATCCTTGGAGTCCGATTATAGCTATAAATGCAAAAGGTAAGGCGCACCAACGCCGAGTCAAAATACAGAAATAATACCTGTGCGGACACCCCATGCAGGCTGCCATTCCTCTTCATGGTCTGGAGTACAACAGACATTAGTAAATCGACACGACAACACCGCAGGAGATAACCAACAATTTGTAAAGCTGATGCATATCTGATCCACGGGACCTCAATATAATTCTAGCGTCTTATTGGCAAGGGGCTTACCTTGGTATTTAATTCGAACCGTCCATTGGGCGTGAGCATCATCAGAGAAGGCGGTCGGAAGGGGTATTCTGCTGGAAGCACTATTCGGAAATGATACAGACCACCTTCAAATTCTGTACCAGCGGGGCCACGAAGTGTGCAATGCCATTCCTGCAATCTATCATTCGAAATGCAAACTTACTATCGGGAAACGTCACATACAAAAATATCATCCTATGGTTACAGAATCCAGACGTATATGTCGGCGGGGATAAGAGACTCGTGCGTGTGAGGAGCACGCACCTCAAGAGGAACTGCATGGTAATCGGTGCAGGGATCGTTTGCAAGCTCCCTCGCCTCTTGCATTATTCGCTTTACAGCTATATGGGGGGCCGCTCAAATGCTGCTAGAAGTAAGCACTATAATGTGACGCACCGGAATTGTTCTTATTGAGTGCAGGCATCGCCTTGGCGCTTCAGCTGTAGCGAGAATATGCTACGGACTTGCAATTCACGACTATGCCAATGATAAAACAGGCTATCAGCTCAAGCTGGAGGTAGTGAGAATCAGCAAAGATGTTTGTAGACGTGGAAGGATTCAGATGGGTGGGCTATTCTGAAACGCCGTAATGGCATCACGTACCTCTGACTACTGAGGTCACGTGTATTGAATTTTCAGGTGTTCAGAGTCTGCTTTCGAACCCTTGGTCACGACAAGCCTTGTTCTCCTTTCGCGCAAACCTAAACGATCTCGGTGTTTCTGTAGCGTGGGTGGAGTACTAGGTCGGCAAATACAGCACAATGACGGTACACATCGCCAAGGTCAAAGTCAGACCTCGGAAAAGTGAGTCCCCAAAATATCCTCTTTGCGCAGGTCATTTAACCAATGCTATGCACAGACTTACCCCCCAGTGTGTGTGCAGTGGAGCTCTCAAATATGTTAGGGTGCTGGGCAGCAACAGGTGACATGCTAGCAAGCAATCAATGTCAGGTGGCTGCCGAGACTTTGTTTCAATGCATGCGGACGGCAGTAAGTTTGCCCTCTGGACAGGCGTGTTCAAGTGTATAACGTATTCACCGCCCTACTTTTGCAGCCTGTCCGCGGCAAACAACCTAGATCGTCGATAAATTACCACCTCGCTAGACTGGGCAAAAACTCCAAATAGCCTGTACTTTATCTGCATAATTTACTGTTACATAGAAAGCATATGCATGCGAATGCGACTGAGACTACGATGTAATTGTAGCATAATACAGACAAACGAGATCGCAAGAAAAAGAAAAAGACAGAAAAAACATGGGAAGACTAGATGACGAACGATAACGAAGGCTAGACAAAAAATGCCAAAATAAAACGGAAACACTATCGGGGGCTTATCAAGGGCTTCGAGGAGGACGACTGCGTAGGGGGTTTCGCCATCTCTTGCTGTCGTTGCCATATTAGCTCTGCCCATAATGGATTCGGCGGGATGTGGCCGACGAGTGCACGAAATACGTCCAGCCTAGCAGGAAATGTCAGACAGATAGTGTGCATGAACGAGGTTGGACATACCATTTCGCCTTCTCATCGTCCGTGTCTGCAAAGAAAAATATTTCCTGGTTTCCAGGAAATATGAGACGGAAGGAACGCTCGACTGTGATCATCCCGCCGTAATCGTCTACTGACTGAGCTCCAGGACTGAGAGCCCTCGTACGCGTATCTTGGTTATCCTCGACTGCAATGGCTTTCTTAAGGTTGATGGTGGCCGTTGCCTTCTTAGTGACATCATTAAATGCAACAAGGTTCGCGCCAATCACACGAAGCCGTCGACGCCGCCATGTCTACAATGAAACTAAGTGACTCTTCATGAGACGATTAAAAGAAAATTCACGTACCATGCAATCTCCTCCATTCTGCGTCAGGGTACCTTCAAAGTAGGTAACTTTATGCCAGGCGACATGTCTCAAACCCCGATGGCAGTCTTCAAGACTCTGCGGAAGTTGATTGCTCAGAACACCAGGTAGAGGTGGAAGTCTAAACATCTGCAAAACGATCTCTCCCAGCTCCATGGTGGTTGGACCCCCTGAAGCTTCGACGCGCTGTCCGATTAGTGGGTAGCTAGTCTCAAAAAGTCGAGTATCACATCTCGCAGCAACATCTTTGAATGAAATCAATGCACGTGCAAGGGTTCCATCTTGTTTGAGGTACCGTGCAAGATTATCTGGGAGTTTGAAAGGAGGGGTGGGTGGTGGTGGGGGTGTCGCACGCAGTTGCTTTTTGGGTGATGAGGAGAAGAAGCTGAGCATGCCGCCCCTAGACTTGGGTGCAGATATTGTGGGTTGCACAGGAGGAGCAGGCGGTGGCACAAGAGCCTGTAATTGGGCGGTGATGTGTGGATCACGGCGGACTTTGAGGGTGAGAGTGAACTCCAGCTTATTGTGCTCGATACTGTCACGGCATTAGCACAATCTACAGATCAATAGCGACAAACTTACAGCTCAAACTCTTGATCGATGCGCGGATCTTTGGATAGACGGGTTTCTGGAGTGGTGACAAAATGTATTCCGTTGTTCAAGGTACATGTGAGAGCTGTAGCTTGTTGGGGCATGGGCACATTCAAGCCGCGAACACCAAGGACTGCACATCGATAATCTCATGAGCTATAGCTCCCAAGGATAATGTGATTTTACTGACCTCTGACAAACACTTTGCCATGGGCCTTTCCAGGCTTTTCCATTGACCGATATTCCTTGATTTGCTTGGAATATTCATTCTAGAACAATAAACGTCAGAATCAATTGCAGAAGAGGCAAAGCAATCATATTACCATGTCTGATGGTCGTCGGACGGCCTTCCAAGCCTTTCCACCGTTCACGTCACCAGCAAGTGACATATGAGAGACCTGCTCAGTATCTGCAGATGCAAAAATCGCCTCATGCTCCCGGATACGATATTTCTGCACAAAGATCAACATGAGCACCTCAGCATGCATAACAAAACCAATGAACTCACCCCTTTCCTATGCTCAGGGTCAAGTTTATTTAACTCTTTCGAGATGCTGTCGGCTAGAAGGTCGCCTTCAGTGTCGGAGATACCGAGGTCGAGGAGCATATCTCTTTTCGTCATGGCCCCAGCGTCACCAGTACTCCGACTCCGCCGACGTGAAGGTCTGCCAGCGGGCGCTGCACGGGGCGGGGTATAATATCCCAGCGACTCGTCATCGTCTCGTCTTCGCGCCGCACGGCGCTTCTCGAGTATAAGTTCCTCTCTCTCGCGTATCGCATACTTCGTCTGCGACCCGGGTTGTTCCTCTGCTGCCACGGGGCTGCTAAACGCAGGGGCAGTATAGACAATCGAGTCTGTCGCCGCCCGTTGCAACGGTGCCGCCCGTGGCCGCACGGCATGGTTGTCCATGGACATGGACATCGACGCATCAAAGTCCGTCTCCGTGCACATAGACTCGTCACCCGCACCAAAGCTGTTGTCGAATTGCCCTGCTTTGATGCCTTCAGTGACGGATTCAACGCGCATGTGTGAGGGCCTTCTCGGGCTTGAGCTCGCACTCGCCGTGCCCTTGACGTCGTCCATGAGTCTGTCGAGGGCCGAGCGCATCTCGCTGAACTGGACGGAGTTCACCGAGTCACCAAGACCTGGACGAAGACTGAGGCTGCCAGTAAGGTCGAAACTCGCATCAAGAGACGAACCAAAGTTCGTAGGTGGTTGAGCAAGAATGTCGAGGGAGCTCCTTGTGATATCAGGATTCGGGGATCCCTGCTGACTTACTGCAACAGCCACAGAGTTAAGCGTGCATTTCTCTGCAGTCTGGATAGTCGCAAGCTCGGCGCTGATATCCGTCATCACCGACATCGACTCCACGCGTTTCTCCCGCTCATTATCTTCTTCAGTCTCTGCACCAGCGATAATGGTGTTCACCTGGGGAAAGTCACGGGGGACGATTTGTTGGGGAGGCTGTGCGTCAGCAGCTTGCTCAGCTACACTACCCGACACCAGAAGACTGTCCGCACTGCGATTTCGCGTGAGACGCATCTGCATATCCTCGTCGAGGGCGGAGCGCACCTCGCCCAGCTGCACGGAGCTCATGGAGTCACCAAGACCTGCGCCGAGGTCAAAGCTGCTAGAAACGTCAAACCCCCTGTCAAGAGGTGAACCAATGTCTGTGGGTGGCTGAGAACTAAGTTGAGTAGGGCTCCTCGGCCGCATAAGATTGGGACTCGGAGACCCTCGCTCTGCAGCTCGAAGATTTGCAAGCTCGGCACTAATATCCACCATCACCGACATCGACCCAGCACGTTCCTCCTGCTCTTCATCTTCTTCAGCCTCTGCATCGGCAATGTCGTTGTCATGGGACTCAGTTCGTTTTGGAAGTTGTGTGTCCGAGTCTTGCTGAGACATGCCACCCGACGTCATAGGACTATCCGTACTGCGTCTCATGAGGCGTGTCTGGATATCCTCTCTGCTGATGCGTATCCTTGGGGCGCGCCCTGCGCTGCCATCAATGGAAAGGTTAGGCGAACTCGCGGACTCGCAGAGCGGTGAGCCTTGGCGTAGGGCAGGTGACTCCTGGCGGACGACTGGTGGAACAATGGGTGAAGGGGGGTTCTGAGCGGAGCCAACGAACTCCAGGAGCTCAGAGGGAATCGGGTCGAATATTGCGGCTGGCTGCTCGCTGTGATCAGGACTGCCATAACCATCTTCATCAGAATAGAAGGCATCATCTTGGCCTTCTTCACGGTCCAATTCCATGACATCACCATACGGGCGGACGGTTGGCGGACTGGTAGGTGACGGGATACTCAGAGGGGGGGTTACTAACTCTAAGAGCTCAGAAGGAAGTGAACCGAATATTGCGGCTGCCTGATCGCGGTGGTCAGGATCAGGGGTGCCATAGTCATCTTCATCAGAATAGAAGGGATCATTTTCGCCTTCCACGCGGTCAAATTCAAGGACATCACAACGTTCTTTCCATCTCACTCGTCTCTGGCGCTTGCGTTCGAGTGAGGGATGGTCAGCAGTTCGAGGACCATGAAAACGTTTGTTAACGAGCGATGAGCGGGTGGGGGTAATCGCCTTCGGTGGATTTGCACTTCTATTAGGGGAAGGCCCCGGAATTGGTGGAATAGGAATAGGGATGGCCTTGGGAGGTACGGGGGGTGGTGTTTCTTCCTGAGCGCCAGGAGGACGTTTGAAGGGGCTCTTTGTTACAGGCTCCGTATCTATGAGTCCCTGGTAGACCTTGGATTGACGGCGCTCCCGCTTGAGGGCAAATGGACGCTCGTTTTCAGCTTGGTCATGCATAGAGTCGGGGCGGGGGCGCTTCTCGCCACTGACCCTACGTGGCGTGGGTCTAGGGAGGGGGATGCTGCTGTGTGAAGAAGTGGAGGGTCTGGGTGGTGTTGGAATTTGAGACTTGAAAGGAGATTTGGAAACAAGATTGTTATTTCTGAGATGTTTGTAACTGGATGAAGATCGACGTGCGACAAGAGGGAAAGCTGGTTTGGAGCTATCACGCTTTGCAATCCGAAGAGGCGTTGTGCCCGTGCTAGTTATTGGTGAAGAAGACTTGCTCCAACCCATGGCGGAATTGCGACGAATAGACGATTGAACAGGATCAGAGTTGGAAAGAAGGTGGTCCAACGATTGTGGGGACGCTGTGGAATTTATTTGTGCGCTCATTGTGAGCGCTAATATGATGTGGTTTACCACCGGTGTCGTCACTATCGTAACCGTTGAGCTCGGTGGTGAGCTCGTCGTTGGGGTCGTTGCCGATGGCGGAAGCGCCTCGGTTGTGGTAATGAACAGAGTTTAAGAAGTCAGTCAACAAACTCACCGTGGGAATTTACCCTCACGCGTCGGTACACGTGATCGCGAAGTCCACCTTGTGGACGACGTGCCAAGTAAAAGTTGAAAACCCTTTTGAACAGGACTTAACATGCCGTGGTTGTAAGTGTTCTTGCAGCAGGCTTAATACCGCACAGACGTGCCTCGACTTTCGGCCATTACTTTTCATGGGACGGTTCTGTCGTTCCAATGGACTAGCCTGGCACCTCTTACCAAGGCAGCAGGCCGGTCGCTGGGACCTGGGTGCTGCCCTTGATGATGGAAGCGAAGATAGAGATTCCAAGAGATGTGAGAACAGCAACGATGAGGTTGCAAACGCCTCAACCAGCAGTCGGGGATATGGCGAATTCTTACCTTCTATAACCCCACGTCTCAGATGTCAACATTTTCATCAACTTCGACCGTTCTGATACCAACGTTACCATGTATAAGGTTGAAGTTGGCTCTCCCAACAAGCAACTTCTGTTATCGCGGATCACAAAGAAAATTCTTTTCAGGGTGTTAAACATGTCCCATCGTCTCCTATACACATATTTATCCAATGTGTACGCCGTGGAGCTTGCAGGTGTTGTGCCAGCAGCCACATCAACAGGCGGCGATATGCTAACAAACATCAGGCTGCGGCCAGGACCTGTGTTTATGTTATGCATATGGACCGCAGTAAGTGCTCTCTGGGCGTATTCAATGTGTTCACAACCCTATTTTGCAGCTTGTCCGCGGTAAACTAGCTAGATCTTCGATAAATTATCACCTGGCTAGAGTGTGCAGGTACTCCAAATACCCCTTTACTTCTATCTGTAGTTCCCCACGCCTAACAGTTCATGCTTGTACCACGCGAATTCCAGCAATGCTTTTCTCCGTAATTCTACAGCACGCGACTGACACGCATTTTCCTCTTTAAAGGAGAAAATTCGCTTGCTGTGTTATTAGGGGTGATTGTAGCGAGCGGTAAACGAGAAGACTGGAGTCGCCACTCACACGGTTGTGGGTCACTGAACTTCTTTGTATTGAATCGCTTGACACCCACGGAACAAGTTTGGGCAGACAGTAGATATTGGGGTTTGTTTCTCGTAAGTCTCCGCACTTGTCGGACTTTGCTTTCCTCCAATTTCAAGTCAGCGGCGTAGCAGCACTCTGGAGGTGCGTGTATAACAGCTTTTCAAGTTGCATTTGCAGCATTGAGGTAACGTTTACTCCTTCTGACTGCGCAGTGTGCATTGTGTGCAAGTGCTCAGCGAGCTGGTGCTGTGGTTAAGTAACGCCCCGAAATGGAAGGCAGTCCGCTTAACGGCACGCTTGGTCCAGTACAAATTAAGGACTCCTGAGTCCACGAGAATACCTCACTTATTCCCCCCTTCCCAATGAGAGTTTCATGTCCAACCACCATAGAAAGGTCGCTGTTTTCTGGGACTATGGTGAGTTTCTACGTAGCTGCCTCTGATGGCTCATGAGGTATATCCTCCGTCAGAAAATTGTAGTCCTCCCTTGAATTCCCAAGGACATGCCATTGTAAATGGCATCCGACGAATTGCGCATGTTTTTGGAAACGTAACGTCGTTCAAAACATACTTTGACATGTCCTCGCAATCCTCCCCCAAGTCTGTCGGGTTTCGCTCTGACCTCCAGTCCTCTGGGGTGTCCATAATCGACTGCCCCCACAACGGCAAGAAAGAGGTAGTGGACAAGATGATTCTTGGTGTGTATTTTGTGAGGCACCCGTAGCTTGCACTATGAACTTTATTGCTAGTGGATATGATTGCATTTGCCGTCGATAACCCTTCACCTGCCACCATTATCCTGATAGCCGGTGACCGTGATTACGCTTATGCTGTATCAACCCTCCGCCTTCGACAATATACTGTCGTTCTTATCGTACCACCAGCGCCAAACATTCCTCAGAGTCTGGAGTCTCAGGCCTCTGTCGTGGTGGACTGGAATTTTGCCATTCTTGGAAAGCGCACAGAAGCCGACACATTGCCGGTACGGCAACCTTATCGCAACCTCGACGAGGATATCGTAGAGCGGTTATCACGCGAAATTTGTGATTCAAGTGAAGATCCTGCTGTCACCCTCATCTCCTCGAATCTCCCCGCAACACCATCCCATACTCGGCGTGTCAGTGCAGCAGAGCTGCTGCAGCCATCAGTATTTGAACAGAATACAGACCCAACATCAGGTGATGCCACTCTGCCTGCCTCGACGTGCACGCCAAAGAAGGTTGCTAGCACAATCTCTGAGGCGCCTGCACGTTCTAGATTTGATTCTGTAGCGTCACGGGCTAGATCCGCGACACAGTCGACGCAGGCTGTCCCAGACGTCGATCAAGGCCCAGGTTTCTCTTTCAAAGAGCACAATACATTTTCAGATGAAAGTCTCGAGTACTATGTTAACCCAGTTCAAGATCCATTCGCCAAAGTCCTCTCGGGACTGGATCGCAACCAGAACATTGCAGAGTCTGGCCTACCACCAGCTCCAGGCCCAATTAACTTCCTATCATCTCCACCACCCGCTGTCACGTACAACATAGGTTTAAACAATGCTCCCCTCGCCTCTCCCTCACACACCCGCACCATCTCGGGAGGTACTCCCATCTCGTACAGCAACACACCTCAGAATGCCGCGCCTTCTGCGGTGCCCTCGTCACCTGTATCCTCACGGGGGCGGAATGATGACATTACTGCACCGAACTCAACACACTTCGACCCTACCTCGGCCATGCTGGATAATCGTATCGTTGAGTCGGATGAAGCGGCGCTTCTGGATGCCTTTGGATATAGTAACGAAGACGGAGACGACACAAGTAGTAATGACGAGTTCGACGCCTCGACTGGCAGTCCAATTTTTTCCAGGGTCGACGATCCCTTGCGCACACAGGTTGCGAGCTCTCCGTCTGTTTCTCTCCCCACCCCTGCACCTTCTGTAATTCCCATATCTCCGACGTCATCGTCAGCACCATCTCCGTCGACACCGTCTTCGCTGACTTTGACTGTCTCCGATTCCGACGCTAGTACGCCTTACGTCGATGTCGGCTTACAACAAGCAACGTCTGTTATCAATGATGACAAAGACAATCATTCTTCAGGGCGTCAGGCGCCTCTGACCGAGTCCATGAAAGATGCGATCCGACTCATTACACCCCCACAATTCCTCCCACTGATCGATCTGCTTTTGCTGGCGATGTCGAAAGGGGAAACGAAATCATCAAGGTCTACGATTGCTGTTGACTTGGTCAAGTCTGACAAGAATGCATACAAGCGCGCCGGGGTGACCAGGTTCAGTCATTATACTGCGCTAGCAGAACAAGCTTCTCTTGTGAAGCTTACTGCGCGGGATGGCGCCACATGGATAGCGCTCCATCCGAATCTGTTTAGACAGAACATCGACTCGGATCCCGAGTCATCATACACCCCATCGACTGTCCATATTAATGACTCCCCTACACCACCGGATAACATTACTTATAACAAGACTCCAGCTCCATCTTCAGCAGCTACGCCACCACCGACCGCCGCGTCGCCTTTGACCACTAGAACATCCGCATTGAACCCAAACGCTTCACCTTTCATGACAGTCGTGCCGATCCCGCTGTGCTTCCAGCCGCTCGTTGCCTGCCTGGCGAAAGTTCACAGGAATGGGATAGCGGAGCCTCTTCGTTCAGCAGTTGGCCAAGTGCTTGGGTTCAAAGTATATTCTCAAGCTGGCGCGGCCAGTCTGAAAGAATATATTGCTCAAGCCATGGACGCCGGCGTTGTGGAATGTGGAGGAGGCAATGGTTATGATTGGGTGAAACTTCATCCTGATGTGCGAAGTGGAAAGCGTTCTTGTTAGTTTGATTTAATGTCTTTTGTGTGTTGCGGTTCAAGTTCATCATCTGTTGTACGAGTATATATGTACCCGGGAATCAAGCGTGTCCCAGCCGAGGGCTGTATTTCATGAAAAGGAAGCCGACACACAAGTGACGTCCTTATCCTGTTTTTAAAGCTTCGGCGAGGTTTGAGACAATATTTTACCTTCCGTCCTGTTCTAGTGGGGTACATCTAACCGCCCTGACCAGTATTTCAACAGTGGCATTTTGCTGGATGTACTGACGAAGCCCGACTTCTAACTCGTCAGAAGAGCATACCACTACGACTTGATGGGCTCAGTGATCGGGAAGGGAGAAACGCATTAATGAGGGTTCACCTATATTATGTGACTCCCACTAAAGTCATCTTGTCGTTCATCGAAACCAAAAGAACACCGAGTCGACTCTGCTGTATTCCATGTCTTCTAAGTCGATAACAATTGCGAGGTTTTGTCGCTGATGGGACATATATTCCCAGTCCACGCAAGTTAATAGTAATGCTATGCAGAAGGCGCAAAGCCCACAGGTGTTATGCAAGTCGCTCAAGATGCGTAACAAACGCGAGAAATATTGATGCTGAGTACTAGTGAGGTTTTAGTAAAAGAATATTAATAGGGTTCGGTCAATCGGAAGGGTCTTGAATGAAAAACGAAAATGCACATGTGACCTAGCTGGTTAACAGTTTTATGATCAAATGTGCACCAAAGTCCTCGAGAAAACTTTCATTGCAATACACCCGCGACCATTTCCAGCAACGCCATTCTCAACGTCCTTCGCGATGACCTGCTGCATTGGCCTGTTTTTATTTATTTGACGCCATCGTCATTAATGACAACGAACCAGTGTGAAATGAAGAGCACGTCCCGGGCGTCGTCGAGCAAATTGGTGATGACCAAGCAACGTCTTCGAGACTTAGACAGCCTCCTACTAGTAGTCCGTCCATCCATTTGTTCGACTGCTGTTCGAGTCCTGTAGTAATTTTCTGCGGCTCACATTTTTAGTTCGCATCCAAGTCACAGCTTAACGGCTTACACACATCCACTGCCCCCGAATGGGTGTCAAAATCCACCCGAGAAATCGACTGATTTCTAGCTCGTCCGTTTCACGTACATAAGTTCATTGATAAACAATCCTCGCGAAGCGAATTGTCGAGGAATAGTTCACTTATCCTCCAATGAAAGTGACAGGATGCGAACTAATGTTCGTCATAACGCAATGACCGACCACGAGATAGTGAGTCATTAAATTATGGTTGGTTGGCGTACTTACATAAATTGACTCGATAACATGCTGCAGCTTGAAGTTGTTCGGACGAATGGATCACACTGGCTGGCCTTCTTAAAGGCGATTGGAACTAACTCTCAGGAACTAATTCTGCCCTCGTATATATCCAAGTTCGATAATTCATTTTTGCGTCTTTCAAGTTTAGATTAAACCTTTCACCCGACCATGACGATAAATGTGCATCCTTACTCACAGGCAGGCTTCGCGACTGGTACAAGTGAATTCTATGACCAGTGAGTGAACTATTCGCTCGTGTACATCTGTTGATCCTATTGAATTGGATGCACCTAGGGTTCGCCCCTCGTACCCAGCTGAGTGTCTTTCGTACATTCGCGGACAGGTACCCGAGAGCACAGCGCCGTTGAACATCGTCGAGTGAGTCAAATACATCACTTCTACTTCCTCCCTTCAGTCGGCTCTCAGGATCGGGGCAGGGACTGGCATTTTCACCCGTGCGTTGTTGACTCACCCTGACTGGGCGACGAGCATTGGCACCCTGAAAGCAATCGAACCAAGCGATGGCATGCGTGATTTTTGGACGAAGTCTGTCAAAGATAATCGCTGTACGATCATCAACGGAACATTTGATGACACCGGCGTAGAAGATGGGTGGGCAGACCTCATTATCATCGCACAGGTGAGTAGCGATAGGATGGAATTACGCACAGATGCTCATCCTTCGGCTGTGTAGGCATTTCATTGGTGCCTCGACTATGGGAAGGCATTCACTGAGTTCGCTCGTATCTTGAACAAGGACGGGGCGGCTGTATTTGTATGGAATCTTGCAGATAGGTTCTCTTCTGTTATTCTCTTCTGTATCAATTTTTGTAACAGCACTGCAGGGAGGCTGCAGGTTGGGTTGCGCAGGTCCAGCATTGTATCGAGGCCCGCGGGAACGGCAGTCCCCGATTTCGTCTCGATGTTTTGAGGCAGGCGTTCTCTACCGCTGAGTATACCTCGTTATTTCGTTCTCAAGAAGAGAAACAATGGGCACATCATGGTGTTGCTTCGGAGAAAACTATCACGGATCGCGCACAGAGTTGGAGTTACATTACCATGCTCCCTCCAGACGAGAAGGCTAAGGTAGTCGATGACATCAAATGCATCCTTGAGCGAGGAGATGGTAGAGTCTGGATCAACAAGGAGCAGGGCATGTATCAGGACCCGCATATGGCTCGCGCATTCATATCTAGGAAGAAATAGAACTGCCGGGTTGCCAAGTTTACGGATTCATGGATCCGTTGCGATTCCGATGTACGTGTGTAACATTAGTTGTCGCTCACACAAGTTTCGTTTGCAAGATCATCACCAGCGGCACCGCACACCCATTTCATCCTATGGTCTGTGGGTCACTGCTGCTCTGGGTTGAATGGTTTGACGCCTGTGGAAGATATTTAAATGGGATAATGGATACTTGGTGCATCCGCGCTGGTCGGACTTTGCTTTCGCCCAATTTGAAGTCAGCGACGTGGCAGAAGAGATACTCTAATATCTACGGAACAAAAGGATGCCTTTGCAGCTTCTGATATGTGCAAACGCTGAGCGCTGAGCGCTAGTAGCAGTAGTAGTCAGTGACCACTGCGGCGTGGCGCGAAAGCACCGCCTCGAAATAGAAGGTCTAACGGCAGTGCCCTCAAGTTGACCTCGAGGGAACTGCGTAGTACCCGTGTTCACTAAGTTATATACCCCCTTCGCCAATGACAATTTCATGTCCAACCATAGAAAGGTCGCTATATTCTGGGATTATGGTGAGTTTCTACGTAGTAGCCGCGCGCCTCTGATAGCTTAATTATGGCCCATGGGATATTTTCTCCGTCAGAAAATTGTAGCCCTCCCTCAGCAAATTCGCAAGGACATGCCATTGTAAATGGTATCCGACGAATTGCGCATGTCTTCGGATGCGTTACGTCGTTCAAAGCATACCTTGATGTCTCCTCACAGTCCCCCAAGTCTGTTGGCTTTCGCTCTGACCTTCAGTCCTCTGGGGTTTCCATAATCGACTGCCCCCACAATGGCAGGAAAGATGTAGTGGACAAGATGATTCTTGGTGTGTATTCTGTAAGGCGCCCGTAGCATGCACTATGAACTTTCGTTTGCTACTAGTGGACATGCTTGCATTTTCCAATGACCATCCATCGCCTGCCACCATTATCCTGATAGCCGGTGACCGAGATTATGCCTATGCTGTATCAACCCTCCGCCTTCGACAGTATAATGTCGTTCTCATCGTACCTCCATCACCAAACACTCCCCAGAGCCTGGAGTCTCAGGCTTCTGTCGTGGTGGACTGGAATTTTGCCGTTCTTGGAAAGCGCACAGAATCCGACACTTCACCTGTACGGCAACCTTATCGCAACCTTGACGAAGATGTCATGGAGCGGTTATCACGCGTAGTCTACGATTCGAATGAAGATCCTGCTGTTACCCCCATTTCCTCGAATCTTCCCGAAAAACCGGCCCATTCGCGGCGTGACAGTGCAGCAGTGCCGTTGCAGCCACCAGTCATTGAAAGGAATACGGATGCAGGTGATACTGCTCAGCCTGCATCATCGTGCACAAAGAAGGCTGCTAGCACAATCCCTGCAAGGCCTGTACTTCCTAGAGCCGTGCCTGTAGCGTCCCGTGTTAAATTTGCAACACAGCCAACGCAGACTGTCCCAGACATCGACCGGGACTTAGGCAACCCTCTCAAAGCGAACAATCCACTTTCAAATGAAAGTCTCACAGACGATTTCGTTAGCACAGCTAACGAGATTCAGGGTGCGAGTCGCGGTCCATTTTCCACAGCCCCCAGCTCGAGTTCTGGACTAGAACGCAACCAGAACATTACAGAGCCTGACTTTACTCCTACTATGGGCTTCAGAAATGCTCCACTATCTCCACTTCCTGCCGACCCGCACAACCCAGACCTGCAGGGCGCTCCTCTTGGCTCTCCGTTGCAGACCCACATCATTTCGGAATACACCCCCATCTCGTTCGGCAACAACCCCCACAGAACCGTGCCAGTTGCTGCGGTGTCCTTGTCACCTACACTGAAACGCAGGCAGGTTGATGCCACTACTGCACCTAAATCCACGAACGCCGGCTCCGTCTCAGCCTATATGGACGACTATGTCCTTCCATCCGACAAAGCAGCAGTTGTGGATGCCCTTGGACTTGATGATGGCAAAGATCGAGACCACAACGGCAACGACGAGGTTGCAAATGTCTCGATCAACAATTCAATTTTAACTGAGGCCGATGATCCATCATCCGTAGAGGTTGCGAACTCTGCTGATTCCGATTCCGATTCGTTCCACACTACAGACGATGCTTCTATTGCGAACTCTCCCCCTGCGGAGGATTATCCCCCCACTCCCGAGCCTTCTGTACTCCCCACGTCCCCGATGTCATCGTCAACATCGTCGATTCCGTCTTCATCGGCTTCGATCACCTCCGATTCCAATGTTACCATGGCTAACGTCGGGATCGGTTCACAACAAGCAACATCTGTTATCATCGATAACAAAGACGAATCTTCGGGGTGTCAAGCACCTCCTATCGACTCTGAGTCCATCGATGATAAGATTCGACGCATTGCACCCCAAGAATTCCTCCCGCTGATCAATCAGCTTCTGCTGGCGAGGTCGAAAGGGATCAAGAAAATTGCTAATGACATAGTTCGGGGTGATAAGGATGTATACAAGCGCGCGGGCGCAACTAATTTCGCAGATTATATATTGCTAGCGAAAGAAGCTTCTGTAATCGAGGTTGGTGAGGGGACGGGTAAAAACAGCGCATGGATAGCGCTGCACCCACGTTGGCTCGTGCAGGAAATTGAAGCACCAAAACCACCGACCCCTTCGCCTGATCGTAGTAATAAACCCCCTACACCACAGGATAATATTTCTGATGCTGAAATTTTATCCACGGCTCCTACGCCGCCGTCGAGCACTGCGTTGCAAGAGACCACCAGGCTAGCTACGCTCAACCCCGACGCTCCACCATTTGTGCCGATCCCGCCTCGCTTCCAGCCACTCGTCACCTGCCTGTCTAAAGTTCACGAGAGTGGGCTAGTGAAGCCCTTTCCTTCGACAGTGGGCCTAATGGTTGGACCCGAGATATTTCTTCAAGCTGGCGCGTCCAGCCTGGCAGAATATATTGGTCAAGCAGTGGATGCTGGTGTTGTGCAATGCGGAGGAAATAGTGGCTATACGTGGGTGAGCCTCCATCCTGATGTGCTGAGTGGAAAGCGTTCTTGCTAGTTTGGCCTGCTGTCTCCAGAGACTCCATGCGTTAGGGATATTCTAGTCAATTATCTGACATATGAGTATTTATTGTAAATCAAGTTTGAATCAAGTGTTACCGAGTAGAGGGCTGTATTCCAGGGAAGTCGACACACCAGTGACGTTCTCGTCCTCTTCTAAAGCTTCGACGAGATTCGAGACACTGTCTTTTTCATCGTCTGTGCTTCCTTGATCCTCCATTTCATCCTATAGTTTGTGGGTCACTGCTGCTTTGGATTGAATGGTTTGATGCCTGTGGAAGATATTGAAGTGGGATAATGGATATTTGGTGCATCCGTGCTGGTCGGACTTTGCTTTCGCCCCAATTTGAAGTCAGCGACGTGGTAGAACAAAGGTCTGCAGAACAAAGGACATTACGCATTTGCAGCTTCTGATATGTGCAAACGCTGAGCGCTGAGCGCTAGTCACAGAAGCACCGCCCCGAAGTGAATGTCAGAGTTCTGGCCGGTCTGGGCACAAGTCTGCGTAGACTTCAGGTCTGCGGTCTGGGCACCCCTCGGCAGGCTCGGCAAATTCAAATGGAGTCTACTTGCAGGTGTACCTGCCCGCCGCCTGCTGCCCGCCAGGTCATCAGGAAAACGTCGAGTCCCTTTTCAGCCCTTGATTTCCTTCGGCAACTCCATAAGGTACATAAGGGTGTTTAAGGATGCCCAAGGCATCATTCTGCTACTTGGCGAACTTCGAATGAATTATTTCTAAGGAAGATAGAATTTTAAGGAAGACATATAAGTACTAAGTAGCGCTAAGCAAGCTCGTTGCTAAGTGCATGCACATCACATCTACAGCCTGAGACAAGTAGTGTCAATAAGCGTTACAAAGAGCACAGATAAACTTACAAGGTGTTGCCGCAAGCTCAACATGTGCTACCACTGTAGTAGGTCCATCAAGATCCAACCGTTTCACCAACTTCACCCTCAATGGACCAATGCTCGGGTTTGTCGACATTCAGAAACCCAGACTGCTGAGCAACCATGGCCCGTGCGTTGGTACGCAGCGCCTGGCGGGGGGTGGGCGGGTGAGGCGTGATGTGACTGGCGGGAGAGGGTCAGCCATTGCTCGGGGGGCGCCGGCATCTTCAAACTCCGTCAGAGCATTACCACCTGTGCCCAGACTTGTGCCAAGACCACAGACCTAAAGTCTATGCAGACTTGTGCCCAGACCGGCCATTTCAGAGACGCCCTCGCCCCGAAATAGAAGCAGTTTAACGGCAGTGCCCTCGAGTTGGCCTCGAGGGAACTCAAAGGGAACTGCGTACCCGTGTTCACGAGATACTTAAAAGTTATATACCCCCTTCGCCAATGACAATTTTATGTCCAACCATAGAAAGGTCGCTATATTCTGGGATTATGGTGAGTTCCTACGTATACGTAGTAAGACGTAGTAGCCGCCACTGATAGCTTATGGCCCATGGGATATTTTCTCCGTCAGAAAATTGTAGCCCTCCCTCAGCAAATTCGCAAGGACATGCCATTGTAAATGGTATCCGACGAATTGCGCATGTCTTCGGATGCGTTACGTCGTTCAAAACATACCTTGATGTCTCCTCACAGTCCCCCAAGTCTGTCGGCTTTCGCTCTGACCTTCAGTCCTCTGGGGTGTCCATAATCGACTGCCCTCACAATGGCAAGAAAGATGTTGTGGACAAGATGATTCTTGGTGTGTATTCTGTAAGGCGCCCGTAGCATGCACTATGAACTTTCGTTTGCTACTAGTGGACATGCTTGCATTTTCCAATGACCATCCTTCGCCTGCCACCATTATCCTGATAGCCGGTGACCGAGATTATGCCTATGCTGTATCAATCCTCCGCCTTCGACAGTATAATGTCGTTCTAATCGTGCCTCCAACACCAAATATTCCCCAGAGCCTGGAGTCTCAGGCTTCTGTCGTGGTGGACTGGAATTTTGCCGTTCTTGGAAAGCGCACAGAATCCGACGCACCACCGGTACGACAACCTTATCGCAACTTTGACCAGGATGTCATGGAGCGGTTATCACGCGTGGTCTACGATTCGAATGAAGATCCTGTTGGTACCCCCGTTTCCTCGAATCTTCCCGAAAAACCGGCCCATACACGGCGTGACAGTGCAGCAGGGCCGTTGCAGCCATCAGCGTTTGATAGGAATACGGGCGCAGGTGGTACTGCTCAGCCTGTATCATCGTGCACGGAGAAGGCTGCTAGCACAATCCCTGCGACACCTGTACTTCCTAGAACCGGGTCTGTACCGTCCCGGGCTAGATTTGCGACACAGTCAACACAGACTGTCCCAGACATCGACCGGGACTTAGGCAACCCTCTCAAAGCGAACAATCCACTTTCAAATGAAAGTCTCACAGACGATTTCGTTAGCACAACTAATGAGATTCAGGATGCGAGTCGCGGTCCCTTTGCCACAGCCCCCAGCTCGAGTTCAGGACTAGAATGCAACCAGAACATTGCAGAGCCTGGCTTAACTCCTACCATGGGCTTGAGAAATGTTCCACTATCTCCACTTACTGCCGTCCCGCACAATTCGGACCTGCAGATCGCTCCTCTTGGCTCTCCGTTGCAGACCCGCATCATTTCGGGGTGCACCCCCGTCTCGTTCGGCAACAACCCCCACAGAACTGTGCCAGCTGCTGCGGTGTCCTTGTCACCTGTACTGACATGCGGGGAGGGCGATATCATCACTGTCCCGAAATCAACGAACCCCAGCTCCGTCTCTGCCTATATGGACGATTGTGTTATTCCATCGGACAACGCATCAGTTGTGGATGCCCTTGGACTTGATATTGCCGAAGACAGAAACCACAACAAAATCGACGAGGTTGCAAATGTCTCGGTCACCAGTCCACTTTTGCCTGAGGTCGATGACCCGTCGTTTGTACAAGTTGCGAACTCTGCCGAATCGTACCACACTACAGGCGATGCCTATATCGCGACATCTCTTCCTGCCAAGAATTCTCCCCCCACTCCTGAGCCTTCTGTAACACCCGTGTCTCAGATGTCATCGTCGACACTATCGACACCATCGTCTTCGGCTTCGTCAACTTCGATCGCCTCCGATTCCAACGTTACCATGCCTAACGTTGAGATTGGCTCACAACAAGCAACGTTTGTTATCAGTAATAACAAAGACAAATCCTCAGTGTGTCAAGCGCCTCCTGTCGACTCCGAGTCCATAGAGGATAAGATTCGACGCCTCACACCCCCAGAATTCCTCCCGCTGATCAAACAGCTTCTATTGGCGAGGTCGAAAAATATTATGAAACCATCAAGGTCCGACATTGCTAATGATATGGTTCGAAGTGACAAAGATGTATACAAGCGCGCGGGCGCAACTAAGTTCGCGGATTATGCTTTGCTAGCGAAAGAAGCTTCTGTAATCGTGTTTGGTGGGGGGACGACTCGAAGCAACTCATGGATAGCGCTACACCCAAATTGGTTCAGGCAGGAAATTGGTGCACCAAAACCATCGACCCCTTCGCCTGATCCTAGTAACAAACCCCCTACACCACAGGATAATATTTCTGATGTTAAAATTTTATCCATGGCTCCTACGCCGCCGTCGAGCACCGCGTTGCAAGAGACCACCAGGCTAACTACACTCAACCCCGACGCTCCACCATCTGTGCCGATTCCGCCTTACTTCCAGCCACTCATCACCTGCCTGTCTAAAGTTCACAGGCGTGGGCTGGTGAGGCCCTTTCTTTCAACAGTGGGCCTAGAGGTCGGACCCGAGATATATCTTCAAGCTGGCGTGTCCAGCCTTGCAGAATATATTAGTCGAGCTGCGGATGCTGGTGTTGTGCATTGCGGAGCAAATAGTGGTCATGCATGGGTGAGCCTCCATCCTGATGTGCTGAGGGGAAAGCGTCCTTGCTAGTTTGGTCTGCTGTCTCCGTGCGTTAGGGATCTTCTAGTCTATTATCTGTAATATGAGTATTTATTGTAAATCAAGTGTTACCGAGTAGAGGGCTGTATTCCAGGGAAGTCGACACACAAGTGACGTCCTCGTCCCCTTCTAAAGCTTCGACGAGATTCGAGACACTGTCTTTTTCATCATCTGTGCTTCCTTGATCCTCTAGTGGGGCCCACCTCACCTCCCTGACCAGTATTTCAGCATTGGCATTCTGCCGGATGTACTGGCGAAGTCCATCTTCTAACTTGAGCAACTCGTCAGGAGAACATGCCAACTGGGACTCAATGAGTTCAGTTCTCAGGAACAAAAATGAGGGTGTACCTCTATTCCGCGACCACCACTGGAATCATCTTCCCATTCATCGAAATCAAAGGCACACTGAGTCGACTCTGCTATGTTGAACAGGTCTTCTATGTCATTTGGGTCGAGAGCTATTTTGAAGTATCCTCGCTGATGGAACATGAACTTGACTGGAGCCTGTCGAGCACTGCGTAATGGTATTTGAGATAAATTATAGAAAAGAAAGGCTGGACGGACCCATGGCGGTTGATCATTTCCCTCACGTTACTGAGAGTGCGGTTGATATTATTGGTCCTACATTCTCTTCCCGCCAGTTCAGCTACAATGACATCAAAGAGTTTTGGTAGGTACTTACATGATGATGCCCACAGAACCGTGCATCATTGCTTCGTAAGTGACGGCTTGACCATTGTCACTCTTGCTTTTGGACGCCTGTATAACTCTGTGAGGCCCGACAACAGACGGCGAGCTTGTATATGTACCTTGACCAAGACATTCTCAATGTTCTCTTTCGGAACACCCGCATCTTTTGCGCGTCGGATGGCAGTGGCTAGCATAGAGTTTTCTTCAGGGATCGGCGACCCGCCATCTAAATGCGGGGCGTAAGCTACTGAAGAGGACGCGCACGAAACATACATACTCCTGGCAGCGGCAAGAATGTCCTGGCAAACGCGTGTAGCGCATTCATTAGGACGACATGCAAAGGAAGAGGCTTACGCGGGCGGCTTTACCGTACAAAATGGACTTCTTCGCGTCTTCTGCACCTTTTCTTTGCTTTATTTTAGACCACTAGACGGGTTGGTTGTGAGTATTTGAAGAGTTAGAGTTGAGACCAAGTCTTACTTTGTTATGACCCGAGAACGGTGTTGGACTACTGGAAAACGATCGTGTATATGATGCGCGCGGCAAAGCAGTCGATAGCCTTGAGCGGAGCATCCAGCAAATTGTAGTCTGTTCAGTCACGCTACCGAAGTAATAGGCTACGTCCACCGTGACACGTGATGGCACCGCGGCGTTGTCCCTGAGTAAAATTAGACGTGTTGGAATACTTGCACATATCGAGGTGCGCAGCCATCCTCAGATTTATGTACATCGGATCTATATTACAAGCTCCTAAAATATACACATACTGTGTGACCTTACATATTGTAACGAGTACACTTCCGTGAAGTTGTTAGACCTTAAATCCTTCAACTAAAACCACTTAAATATATTTCGCCGGTGGAGTTTCAGCTCTCTCGCCGGATTTCTCAACACCAGCCTCCGCGGCGCGGACAGCGCTAGTGAGATCGAAATGGAAGAAGGGGGTTTCAATGGGGACGATAGGCACTTCCCCCGAAGTAGGAGGAAGAGTCTCGCCGTGGGCCTCGATATCTTCGATGCTGGAGGCATCATCCCACCATTTTTCACGGCGACCGCCACGGTAGGGTACAACAGGAGCGATCTCGTTAGGAAGATCGCTTGCTGGGGTACCAATACCGAAACCTGCGGCTACAAGAGCACGCCGGATCCAAGGTGACAGGATGGTAGCAAAATGGAACTGCAGTGTTGCATTAAAAAGGCAGCGTCGTCGGGGTTCACAAGATGACTAACCTCTACAGGATGGTTTGCCCATCTTTGGACTTCGTTCCGTGTGTCTATGAGAGCTTGGACAGCCGTGGTATCGATATGGGATCTGTGAATAAGAAGTAAGTGAATTGACTCGTAAGGGAGTCTGAGGCCAGAGAACTTACACTCCAGAGAAGTCTAGCACAATGGCATGAAGAACAGGTCTTTCGTTGTTGGCTGCCTCCGCATCCTGTGAGTTGCCACGAGTTGGTCCGGGATCGTTCCAGGGGCGGTCGGCCAAGCGGATCGAGCTGAAATCGATCCCACGTCTCATGTTCTCCTTCACATAATCGACAAGGACGGAGTTGACGAGAGAGCAGTTGGGGTACAGGTAGCTTTCTTCGAAGCGGTATACGATCACACCCGGAGCGGGAGGGTGGACCTTGATATATTGGTTCGTTACGCCATCCTTGCGCAACGGAACGAAGACTTCTCGTGACTCCCTTGAGTTACGTGAGAGGGTAACCTTCCCAACGAAATATCCTCTAGGGTGTGCGATGCGAACCAAAAGTAAGGCGAACGATGCCGCGATAGAGGTGTAGATACCATTCTCAATAGACGAAAAGACGGTGACCAGGACTGCAGCCAACCAAATAATAAACTCGAGGGGAGAAACGCGCCAGTAAGAGTACGCTTGGGAAGGTGACGCGACAAGATCAGCGACCGCGTGGATAATGACTGCTGAAAGCCCAGCATTAGGAATCCAGTAAAACGCTGGTGTAAGGCCATAAAGAGCGACGACGACGACCATCGCAGTGATAACACCAGCCAAAGGAGTCCGCACGCCCGACTTCGACTTCAAGGCAGAACGGGAGAACGATCCTGTCGCGGGATACGCGTGGAACAAAGTGCCAAGCGTGTTAGTGACACCTATAGCGATGAGTTCTTGGTTGGGGTTGATCTTATATGAGTTGACCCGTCCAAATGCTGCAAGTAGTGTGTTAAAAGGGTTAGACGGTCAGATAATTAGTGGCTTACATTTGGCAATGGCGATGTGCTCAAGAAGGAGGATTATGGTGGCAACAGGGATGTGTGGCGCGAGGGCATTGACGAGCTCGCTGTTGATAACGGGGGGGCCCACATTTTGGAACCCTGCGGGGACAGTTTGCAATATTTTAATCGGGTATTTACCGGAGGCGGTTTTATGGTCTCGGCAATACAGCCAAGCGGCGAGGGTCAATACTATCACCACAAAAGCATTTCTTGTAACTGAGATGAAAAAGAAAAGTCGGCCTGAACAAATACCGTAAGAGCCTTGTCAAGAGAAGACCATACAGATCACAGCTTACTTCGATTGGGGTAGTGCTTGGAGAATTGATCACAAATAATGCGAATTGCGTAGAGTGCAAAAAGGCCTGTGAGACCCCATGCCGCATCTAGAGTCGTACCAGGGAGTCCCTTGAGTGTGTTGATGATAACTTCGTATGTGGCAGCTCGAGTACTATAAAGTGTCACAAAATTGCGTTTCGCTTGAAATGACACCGCTTACTTGAATCCGGTGATACCCATGAGGCCAGGAACCTGACCTGCAACTATATTGATCGCAGATCCAGTCATAAACCCACTGACTGCTGGTGTGGGTATGAACTCGACGAGCCATCCGAGGCGCAAGAGGCCAATCCCAAGCACGATAAATCCACAAACAAAGGCCAATGTTGTGGCTATTAGGGGGGAAGCCCATTTACCAGGATGCTCTGAATCTACAGCACTGATAATTTCAGCCACGGTTAGCGACATAACTGCCACTGGTCCGATAGAGACATCCTTGGAAGTCGCGAAGAACTAGAAGTAAATTTAGCATCGCAATTATCCAAATTAGTGCGCACGTACGCAGTATACAAGAACGCCGACGAAGGATGAATATAGACCGTACTGAGGAGGAAGAGTCGCAAGCTACGAAGGCTTGTGAATAAACGAACAAGAGATTTGATACAGAATTTAATACTTGTGCATATGACATCCCTTGTGGGACCAGCACCATTCCTACGGTAAGACCTGCAATGAGGTCTCCAGTAAGCCATCCAAAATCTGAAAACATCCAAGTGAGTAGAATTATTTTAAATAGTAATGATATTCTTACTGTATCGCGTGATCCATCCAAGGATTGGGAAAAGACTGGTGAAGTAATTCACCACCTGGAATAACAGAGATCTATTGAATGGGATGGAGAAGTATATGAATTTCGTACCTCATGCCTTGGGTCTTTGACAAGGCTCTTCAAATAGGTTTCGGTGGAGATTGTGGTTACAGTCTCCTCCGGACGCCCAATGATCCTATTGCCAGCACGTTTTGCTGACTCAAGCATGGTTGAGGGTGTTAGAGAAACGGGGACGTTGGCTCAAATGGGAATGTACCCTCGGGTAGATATTTATGCGTAGCTGGGCGTCAAATGCAGCTGGTAATGCGGCACTGGACTGGCTCAAAAAGACAGGTTATTACGTTTGAAACGTATTTTAGCTGTACAGTCAGTGATGAAGTTCCGAAGAGTGGATAAATTGATGGCAAGGGCTCTGGGATATCTATTTTATAGATGTCAGTCCAAATTAATCCTTCACCCCTACGTACCCACTGGGCATCGATGTCGACTGAGCACGCCATTGATGGTCCAATTGACGATAGTTACTTCAAACAGGGCTGTATGCAAGATTCCGGCAGGGCTCCATCATATGCGCTGAGTTGAAATTCATCATCTGTTCTAAGTTGGGTTGGCCCGATTGTGACAAAAATATTTATTGCAAGCAAAATATCCGTGCCCCCTCTATAATGAATGACAATATCATATCAGGGATTGTCGTGTCGTGATCCAAAATGGTGCTATCAAACGTAGTATATAGCGTGATTCAGGGCTCTGTAAATACTTCCCTACGTGCTTGAGCGTGCTTGACTGTGCCTGCCGGAGCGGGTGTTTAGATTTGACGTGACATTTTTAGGCACCAATTCTGCCACGACGTGGAGTCGGCGCAGACCGTGTCACTCAGCCTGGTTTCAAATTTGAGAACGATATCACGCCTCTCCGTGTAGTGCAACATCATGGCAGCTGCACCCGCCTTCGGCATTTGGTCTGAATACCTTGTAAGATGCGCCTTTGTTCAAGTCACTTCCGACAGCGTGAGAGAACGTTTAGTAGCCAATGACATATACACACCGTGGTCAAAGAAACCCTCTCCTGGAACTCCGAAGATCCAATTGAATGACAGTGGCCACATGTCCCTGTCGGAAGACAAAGTAAATATAACGTCGGTATAACGTGATGGAGTGTAGTACCTGCTGGTCCAAGTAAGTCGGATCGGCTATGCTCCACGATACTCCTGTATCAACATGACTGTCATGGTTGTCTTGCTTGGCAAGCTGCCATTGTACTCCGTCGAAAGAAAGTTCGCAATAATCTCGATTCTGATACTGTGTGCGGGGTGCGGAAGTTACAAACAGGCTAATCGGTCAGGTTCAATATTTGATATCAATTGTCAATTAGAGGGAGATGTGCGCCTATGTGCGCTAACCTGAGTGACCCTTGAAAGCTTGGCTAGAAAGTTGTGCAGTACTACGCAGTGAGAAACTATAAACGGTACCTCTGCCGTAAATGGTCACGTGTAACGTGCTGTTTTGCTTTGTCCTTACTGCGTTGTACTCGCGTCGTTGTCAAGACCAGTGCGCAGTGCGCCTGTATCACGAACAGATATCACGAACCCTTCAGTAACGATAGCAATTTATGTCTATTCATCCAAAGCCCGTGCCTCTCGTGGCACCAGGACATACCCGCCCAGTAACTCACCTTTCTTTTTCGCCACTCCAAGACGATGGCACCTATCTTCTTGTGTCCAGCTGCAAAGATGGCAACCCGATGCTTAGAGAATGGACAGGAGACTGGATAGGCACGTTTTTGGGTCACAAGGGAGCAGTATGGAGCACAAAGCTCTCGCCGGATGCCTCGCGAGCGGCATCGGGAAGCGCTGACTTTACTGCGTGAGTCTGCCGCCACAATTGCCACCTTGCTTTTTTCCTTGCTAATTGAAACCAAGAAAAATCTGGGACACATATTCAGGAGACGTGTTGCACTCCTTTCCTCACAATCACATTGTTCGAACTGTGGCCACATCTCCAACGTGTTCTCACCTTCTTACTGGTGGTCAAGAGAAGAAGGTCAGAATATTTGACCTTGGACGTCCAGACGCGGAGGCCGATGTTCTTGGAGATCTTGGCGTACCATCGCATGACGGAACTGTGAAGAGCGTCGTTTGGGTTGGAGAACATACTGGTGTATCGGCTGGCGAGGATGGTATCATCAAGTTTGTTGTAATGACTAACCATAACAGAACGCCACTGACGATAATGTTTTACAGATGGTGGGACCTGCGGACACAAAAACTTACTACAACTATGACATTCCCTAATCCGATAACTTCAATGGAACTTTCACCGCAAACCAAGCGTCTGGTTGTGACATCGGGAAAAACCGTCGCATTTATACCTGCTTTACCTAGTGGTACTCCAACGCATAGTCTCAACTTGCCGTACTCGCCATCATCCGCAACCGTTCATCCTATTCTTCAAGACCGGTTTGTCACAGGCAACCTAGGTGACGAGTGGGTCAGAGTTCATGGAATGGATGGGGAGGAGAGGGAGATATTGAAGGGTCACCACGGACCTGTCCATTGCGTGGAGTTCAGCCCTGACGGTGAAGTATATGCAAGCGGCAGCGGTGCGTTTTCCACCTCATAACTCCAGGATGTCTTATCTGATACGGCGTCGATTACATTACTTTTCAGAGGATGGTAAGACTTGTTCGAACAAAATGACCAGGACGATATTGACAGGTATCATGCGACAGGTACAATCCGACTCTGGCAAACAACCCCCGGGAAGGCATACGGCTTGTGGCAAGGTAATGCTAATGGTGGTTAGGAGAGAGTGGGAAGGCGACACCGCACACCATCTAACATCTTTAGGTCATTTCTCTCATACATCGTCGATTAAGTCGTGGAAATGTTCGTTGATCGAGCAAGGGGATACATCATGTAATGTCAAGAAGTCTACAAATCAATCATATCATACTGTTTCCAATCTGCATGACCATCTTTATTCGACAGGCTAGCTAGCGGTCTTGCATGGAATCGCAATCATACTTCCATTGGGGTACTGAGAACACCCGTATTGAACTAGGTGAATATTGTCGAGAAGAGAGAGGCGCTGGAACTACTCAAACTAGAGGAGCTAGCCCACTGAAACTCCGCACCGCGATACCAAAAATTGGTAACGTTGATGGATGGTTCTTAAGTCGCCGTCTTTTGATTCCCACTATTAGTAGCTTTATGTTATCGTATGGACTGGCGCTATTATTGCCTATAAAATACCCAAGGGCCCGGGATGGCTCATCTAAGTTCCTATATCCACGGTAAGTAACGCTGAACATGCTGAAGCCGATCGCCAGCTGCTCCAGCCTAGCAATCTTGCGACTCTCGCAGATATCATCTATTCGCAAGAGTGGAGTCAGGTTATCCTCCTTGCACACCACGCCCGCGATCCAGAGAGAGGGCTTAGGAGATTTTGCATTGACAGATCGAGTTGCAATCGTCACCGGAGGCAACCGTGGTCTTGGACTCGAGGCCGCACTAGCGCTCTCTACGGCTGGTTCGCGTGCAGTATATTGTTTGGATCTTCCGGAGAAGCCAGGTGAAGATTGGAACGCGGCTCATCAAGCCGTAGCAAAACTTGGGAATGCAGGACGACTCGAATATTTGACTGCTGACGTTCGCGACCAGAACCGACTGCTCAAAACGGTAGAAGAAATTGCAACAAAGGAGGGAAGGATGGATATTTGCGTCGCAGCAGCAGGCATTACTGGGGCCGCCAAACATTGCTTGGATTATACGGAAGAAGATCTCGAAGAGGTGTGTCGTCGTTCTGTATGTGATTGCAAGAACATAGCCCAATGAGTTCACGAGAGGTTTATGCTGTAAATCTCAAAGGGGTATTCTTCAGTGCTCAAGCTGTCGCAAGGCAAATGGTTCGGTTCCAGCTACCGGGAAGCATAATCCTCCTTGGCTCTATCGCTGGCAGTGTTGCTATGAAGGTAACAATAGTTCCGCTGTTCTCGCTTACATATCATTAGCCCCACTCAATTACATTTTATTTCGCCCATTTTATTTTCCTGTAAATGAGTGTATATCGCCGTGGGGAACAACCAGACGACTAAATAATTAAAATAATATGTTGGACCTGCTGGATATCTGTCGTCGCGGAGTTTCATTCACTGCGAGCACCTCAAACATCGCATACATACATCATGGCACGTCTACGACGTCTCGGACGCAAGTCACTGAAGTATCATCAATCAGCAGCACAACAGCTCGAAGTCCTTGCAATTGCACAGCTGGCAACTGCAGAAGATGGTGATGACTGAAATTCTCGGTCTCACTCTAGCAGCCCTTGCAGCAGACCATAGACGGAAATCACGAAGCAAGAAATATGGCATCCGTGGAGAATACAACCAACCTAAGTCTGAGGACTTCTTCAATATTCTGCTTGGACAGGCTAGTGAAAGGCAGTTTAAAGCCTGGTTTCGGTAACGCAAATTTTTGCTGATTTGTTCTCGAAGACTGACTACCAATAGAATGCGAAGGGAATCCTTCTGGCATGTCCACAACTTGATATGCGCTGACCCGATTTTTGTTAGCACTTGCAACCGCCCTCAGCGCCCTGTTTACTACCAACTGGCAACATTCTTGTGTCGTCTGGGTGCCGAGAGCGGACTCAAAACTGCTGGTGTCATGTCCATTGCCGAGGGCTCAGTGTATGTCTATTGCTATCGAGTTTGTCGGGCAATTCGGAATATCCGAAGTGCTCATTTAGCTTGGCCAGGAGAGCAACGGAGGCAGTTTCTCTCTGGCGAAATGGCTGAGTGGGGTTTTCCTGGTTGTATTGGAATCGCCGACGGTAGTTATATTCGTCTCGAAAATAAACCAACAGAGAATGGGTTTGCATATTGGTGCCGCAAGAAATTTTATGCAGTATGTCTCTGTGCTTTAATACTGCTGAATATTTAAACTACCAAATGCTAGATCATCGTACAGGCAACCTGTGACCATCGGGCAATTTTCACGTCGTATGATTTTGGATGGCCAGGATCAGTTCAGGATAGTCGGGTGTTCAAAAATTCGCATTTATGGAGGCGAAAGGCAGCCTACTTCCAGCAACATGAATATATACTAGTCGACAAAGGTACATTGCTCAGAAACTTGTATTGTGATGTGCTAACCTGAGATCTTGTAGGCTACCCGTTGACAATGTACTCGATACGTCCTTTCAACGAATTTGATCTTACCAACGATGCTGATGAGGCGAGGCGACGGTGGGATTGGAATAGGAAGTTATCTTCACTTCGGATATTTGTTGAACATGCTTTCGGGCGCTTGAAAGGCCGTTTCCCGCTCCTCCGTGGCATGAGTGGAATTGACTTGCCAGACATCTTCCGAATGGTTGAAGCAGCAATGATTCTTCATAATATACTGGAGGAAAATGGTGATGACCCAATGACTATCAAGGGATTTAATGGCACGGAGGATCATGGTGTACATGAAGTTCGAGGCGAAGGTCCAGTGCAGATGACAGGGGCAAATGCTAACGAGGATGATTTATATCGTCTAGGTCTTTTACGTCGCAAGAATCTCGTAGACTACTCTATGAACTAGTGTCCTCTGCTGTCAGTCGCTCTGCCATTTTTTGGCCACGAGCTTGTATCAGAGGGTTTGGATGATTCAAAAATTCACTCGCCTGTTGCCACTCCTCCTGCTGTGCCTTGTGTCGTGCCTCTTCTCTCTTCGCTCGAATGTCAGCCTGACGTTGCTCATACTCCTCCTGCTCACGCTTCTCACTGCTTCAACGTGACCTCCATGTTGAGTTTGGCAACCTCTAGATTAGTTTCGTCGACTTTTGCCTGCCGTCTATGACGCTCGCCCATAGTTCCCATCATGTCGCGAAGAAGTGTGCTGGTATCGGAAATGTCATTGGCCTCAAATGATGCTGACTTATGCATTCGTTTTTTCGGTGGAGTCTCATCATCTGAGATAGACTCGCTCGAGTTGATGTCGTGGCTGCGAACCACTGTGGTATCATTACGAGCACTGATGAACTATCAGGAGCCTCTCCCAATAATAAATGATAATTACTCACACAGCGTCAATGGCTCTGAAAATTTCACTAGCTTCAAACTCATCCAGTACCTTCTTCGACACTTTTTTCTTTGATGTGCGTTTTCGCTTCGTCCCATCTAGTGCAACATCATCTTCGACAATATTCCCGCACTCGCCGTCAAGCTCATCTCCCTCTCCATCTTCATCTCCATCACCTCCACCAGTGTGCTCTTGGCGCTCTCGCACAGCCTTGTACTTTGGCCAAGCTTGGTTGTGCCAGAAGTTACGAATTTGAGCATGGTCGACTCGGCCTTTTAGCAAGACACATGCTATCTGCATGGTTTCGGACCTTTTGGTAAGCAAGCACACTCGGACTCGAACAAATTTCACACTTACATATGTGAAGGTTGTGGTCTGTGTCAGCTTGAATGTTGGCCACACTTCTGGAGAGGTAATATACTTCACGGCTTTCAGTTTATCTTCATCCGAAAACGCTCTCCCTGAAGTTGCACCTTCCAGCTTCACGGGTGTCTCTACAGGTGCAGCTCCAAGTCCCTCTGGCTCAAGCTTAAGACCTGCCCGACCGAGCTGGCTCTCGGCGAGCTTTGAGATCTCATCGTCCGAGTTACCAGAGGTCCGTCTGTTCCCTTCGCCGGATTTACTTCCTGTCCCTCTCATTGACTTTGGCTTTGGAACAGGAGTAGCACTACCTGGAGTCTTCGGAGCAGCTCGTGCTCGAATGCGTCGCACAGGTGTTTTTGCGGGTGTCACTGTTGGCATAGTGGGAGCTTCAGGTATGTCATTCTCCCCATCTCCGGAGGAGAGGATATGACCCTGATCTGAAAAATTTGATGGTAGGCTGAAAATCGTGTGGCCGTGGTTGTTCCATCGATGGTCGTGGTTTTGTGGGGTGCCATTTTGTGATGGGATGAATGAGAGGCCCTCGGGACACATTTTTCGAGGTGATCGACGAAGCCCAGATGTTGGATCGGTGTAGAAATGTGGTTGACGTGCAGGGGTGCTGGGACAAGACATGGGGTGAGTGTCAGCCTGCTGGATGTGCCTTCCGTGATACTGATTTGATGAAGGGGGCTGCGGCAACTCGAAATCTGCGTTGGGGAGGACATGTCCATTTCCATCGTGAATGGGAAGTTGCTCAAATACATTTGGCACTTGCAGGTACGTGTTTTCGGTTGGAAAAGTCCACTGCGAACCAGTTATGATTCATGACTGCAGCACACTGATGAACTTGCACGCTCGTTCACGCATCTGCGATCACGGTGTGTGCCGTGTCGGCACATTCGAATCTCAGCTAGTGTTGCGCTCCTGTAAATATATAATAAAATACTTATGGTTTGCTTCATTTCGGTGGTGCTCTCACAGTCTGTCAATCATATATTGCTTGCACAAAATAAAATGGGCGAAATAAAATGTAATTGAGTGGGGCTATTGACTACACGTGCAGGGCACGCCAGTACTTCCATACAATACCGGCAAGGCCGCAGTGATACAGATGGCCCGCAGTATGGCATGCGAACTTGCACAAAAGAACATCAGGGTGAACTCGCTGTCACCAGGTTTTATTGATACACCGTACGTTCTGTATTGTGTTCCAAAACCTCTGACGCATCAGTTATTAGCATGGTGGCACCAGTATTGTCTGCGCAACCGCAACTTCAAGCTATATGGTCAGAACAAAGCTTCATGAACAGGCTTGGCAAGCCTCACGAGCTGCGTGGAATTGTGACATGGCTGGCATCCGATTCATCGAGCTTTTGCACGGGAAGCAAGTGAGTAAAATCTCTGGTTCGAGATGTGAAAATATTAACGTCCATATTTCCTAGCATTGTTGTTGACGGTGGATATACCGCATGGTAGAGCTGATATTGAAAATTGAGTACAAGATTGATTCTGTGTGTTTGTACTTGGGACTCGGAGAACCAGTACTAGTGCATCAACAAAAGTGCCGCTGGCATGCACGGCCGGTCGCTGCCTTGTATGGTATACAAACCCCGAACAGAATTGCAGAAAGTATGTAGGGCTTGTAGCATGTATGCAAGTACTAGCAGAGATGTATGGAATGTAAAGTTTGTACACGAAATGTGTGGAATGTAAAGCTCGTAAATGAAATGTGTGGAATGTAAAGCTGGTATATGAAATGTGCGAGGTTTGTAAGCGTCGTGCAAGCATTAGCAGATATGTGTTAAATGTAAAGCGTGTACACGACATGTGTTGAATGTAAAGCTCATAGATGAAATGTGTCGGATGCAAAACTGATACAAGAAATGTGTGAAGATTGTATAGTTGTAACAAGTCTCATGAGTTAATGCAGAAGATTGTACTAGCGTGCGTGCACAAATGTAAAGCTTGTACAGCCGCTGGTGCTGTTCAAGTTGCAACTTGCACCTACCATCCGCGTCAGAGTCAACGAGTATCAAGGACAGCTGAGTAAACCTAGCTGCAGAGCTCATACTCAAACCTATAGCGCATCCCGAGATTGTGTGATCAATCTGCACATTCTGCAAAATGGCATACAAACTTGAACTAACTCTAAAGTGTTAACTAGTACATCATCAGAACTCGCTGAAACCCTCTAGTAGTTCTTCATCACTGTCCTCACCATCCTCTGCACCCAGCTCGTCGTCAATCTCATCGCCGACATTGCCTTCAACGACTTCATCGTCCTCTCCGTCACCTTCATCTTCGTTCAAATCCTCCCCTTCAATCTCCTGCTGAATTCCGGAGTAGCCGTAGTCGTCGTTGTCTGAGTCAGGCTGGTCCGAGTCACCTTCATCCAGCTCGATGGCTTTGCCTTGAGTAGCAGACCCTTCCACATAGTCAACCGTGTTACTTTCATCACCCTCGGCACCTTTGTTCTCGTCAGAGACTACTGCAGCGCTGGCATGACGTACGTCCAATGGATCGCGATCATCCAGAAAGCCATCTGTGGCTTCGCGAGTTGTTCGATGACCAACACCACCCCCACGAAACCTCATGAGCATATCTCGATCGACAAAACTGTTATAAGTATCAGCAGTGAAGATATCTCACGGTAATGATGCTCACATATTGAGATAGAAATATGTCCAGTCTTCGTCTTTGTCACAGGGATGACGGATGATTGATGGCGGCAGATATTCCGAGGTATGGCCAGAAGCAAAAGCTGGAACAAGATGGATTCCCCGGATGATATTTTTGGGATCAATGAACCCAAATGCTCCGGGATCTTCGCTAGGGATGAAGCCGAGTCGATGTAACCGTTTCACTTTCCAGCCTGAACGGTGGCTGAGATCGCGGCCAAACCAACGTACCCATGCAAAGTCAACTTGCACTGGATCATATGATGACGAGTTGGTGGTGAGATCCCGATAATGGACAAGTGCGTGAAAAACACCAATAATTCTGGCATACCAGTAAGGATGACCATTGGGCTCCGAGTCGTTGTCTTCCTCGTGAGACAAGACCATGATGTCTGCATGCGTTCGAGAGTTGAGTGAGTCTTGATCTCGTCGCAGATCATAGGTAGTGTAATTAATTCAGATTACCTTGTGCCGATAGATACGATCATTGATAAATGTCAGTCTGCTGCGTTCAGCAGAGGAGAAGGGAGATTCATCGCCATCGTAATTGTGCTTTAGTAATCGTGCCAGGATATGATCTTTTAATCGGGGAAGAAAGCCCTAAAATTTTTAAAATGTGTCTGAGCATTGTGAAATGCAAATTGAAGTCAGTAGCAGTACTCACTACGAAGGCAGGATCACTTTCATTCTTCCCCAACCATTGAGAAAGTCTCAAGTAGTGGCGTACTCCACTGGAAATATGGTAGTGCGCCCGAGGATCGGTGTATGGTAGTTGTTCTGAATCTTCAAAGCGCAAGGATGGCATGTTGGCAGCGTCAGCTTTCATCACCTCTCTGCTTCCCAGTGCCATGGATTTCCTCTTTCTGGACTTGTCCACAGGAATTCGCTCTGCCATCCTGAAGAGGATTCTCTCCCGTTGCTGTTGCTTTGCGATACCAGACGTAAATCGAGACTTGCTCACTCTTGGATAAAAGCGTTTGACACGCCTGTGCTCGAGTTCACCCTATGAACTAATATTAGTGCCAAGCCAATTTCTACAGTGAAGCATGCCAATACGTACCAACATGGTAGAAAAGTTGTCTGTGGTCCCAAACTGTTTGATAGTACTGACATAGTCACCAAGCGCATGAAGCTTGTAAGTTTGCAGATTGAACGTCCTGTGCTTCAAGCGACCCTGAGGGTGTTGTTTTGCTGAGTTCTCCGTACTTTGGGGTTGACCTTGGGCAGCTTTTCGTGCTTTGCGGCGTCCGCGAGCTGCTTCTTCACTTGGAAGATCTCGGGTGTCAAATGCCTCCTTTGTTTCGCTGGCAAAACACCTCAAAATCTTGCCTAGTCGAGTAGTTGATGTGTCGAGGAACAAAAGTGTAGTGTCAGTGTGCAGGCGCAACTTTGCCAATCCATGCCAGGTGGCTAATTCAAAGAGGAGATCGAGGATAAGAGCATTGAATGGTTCTGGTAGGAGACGGTCAAATACGGGAATGGCACACTAGCAAATCTCTCAATCAGTACTTTGCGCGACCAGCACCACTGTCCAGAAATGTACCTGTAAAAGATCCTCGAAATCCCGCGCTGCCAGCTTCTTCATGCCAGAAGCGTTTCCACTGAATTTGCGGATTGTACCTCTGCCAAATGTGGGAACTTGTCGATAGCTGTCGATGAATCAATGTAAGAAATTCTATTAAGTTAAGTAGGAACTCGTACCGTTTGTTCAGCGCCTGTATTGTGTCATGGCCATATGCGTAAAGAATGCGGATCAGATGTGTAAAAGTGGCCTTCCAAACTCCCAACTCAAACTCATGGAGCAAATCCGGGACGAACATGGAGTAGAAGTTGAACCCAAAGCGTGCGAACCGAGTTGAGAATGCATTCTAAGTAAATCTGGAATCAGGAAGGTAAAAAAAATGCTGTGACCAACGTACCACAGTTGGAACGAGAGACTTGGGTACAAGCATCCGCTTGACAAAAACACTTGTAATATTGGTGCCCTTGACATACAACCACTCCCGAACCTGTCTGATCGTGGTCCATATTGTATGGCCATCTTCACGGACCCTGTTCTCCCGCCAGCGTCTGTCAGCCTTGCTTCCGAGGCCACCGATCTGAATCTTGGGGATCAGACACCTTGGACACGGGCACTGCGCAAGAAATTTGATTGACGCAAGAAGTGTCCTGGAAAAATTCAGCACTGAGATGAAACTGAGACTGGGTAATTATATGATCCTTACTTTTCCGGATAATCAGCTGCATACGTGAATAGACGAGGGAATACTCTGCGGAAGATCCCATCCAGACATTCTATGACTAACCCAAACTCGTATGCATGCATGAAGTCGTCATCAAGGAGCAACATCCAGATTGCTTGCATCAACTCGTGCCGACAATGACTCAGAACTTCCGAAGTCATGGTTTTCTGGAAAATATGTCGATAGGAGTCTTGAAGAGCATCTGTAAGCTGTCAGAAATCCGTTAGGCAAGAATAAATTAAAGTAAGGATTGAGCACATGCCTTGGGAATATAAGCTAGATGGTGGGCTGCGAATGCTGTTGGCTTAGCTCGCGCATACTTTGATTGATTCCCCAGGAACATATAAATAGGCCACAGGGAAGCGGTTCCAAAGCTTGCTAGATGAGTTGAGTCGGACCAGAGCATCACCGCTGCAACTACAGTCTCAAGGGTGCAGTTGCCCTCTCGGGGTTGTGAACAGATTTTCTCGTGTTCATCGAGCATTGCAGGTGAACTATAGACTTCTCCGTAGGTCTTTTCTGCAGGGACATCATCAGAGGGCTGATAAAATGTTTCGAATGGGGTGAGATGGAACTGTTCGGCAGCTGATTCACGAAATGCCGCTTTAATGACTTCGAGAGGCCGTCGATAGAATAGGCCAGGAATATCGAACTCTGGAGCTGTGTCCTCAGATGCATGTTGGACTCCATCGGCTGGAATATGGATCTTCACACTGGTTTCCATCCAGCCATCTGAAGCAGAAAATGATGAATGAATGTCTTCAGAGGCGTCCTGATAGCTGTCCAGGCGATGATTTTCCTTCAAGGCACGAAACTCTTTCAGATGGGCTTGGTCGAAGTCCTCTGCCAGAAGGACTTCCTGTACAAGGCGATCCAACTCAAGCAAAGATTTTGTAACGGAGCCGCTGTAAAACCAATGCATAAGACGAAATGTCGTTGCATTGAGGAATGGAGTGAAGTAATGGGTCTGAGCAGACTGTATGGATCCGCCGAATCCTGACCACCAAGGTCGAGCCCTAAGGTCGTCTTGACTCTTGATGAATGTCGGTGAATCAGCAAAATGTGCCACAGATGTAAGATTATCAGGGCTGAATGATGGTGGGGAATGCACATATCGGCGATAGAGACCATAGTGATCTCGTGGGGTGATGATGAATGGTTGGCTGGGAATTGGGACCTGGGAATTGAGTTCTACCAGATCTGCATCCACATCGTCCAAGGTTGAAGGCAGCTCTACCACGGGGATAGGTGGCATATCATCACGGAATCTTTTGGGTAAGCGACGGTGTCGGTTTGGTAAACCTGAGGAACGATATGCAGGGGGTGTTGGAGATGTTCGGCGTGAGTCCTGGACAAAACCTCAAAACTCACATCCACATGAAGAACAAGTGAACGTACTGCTAGCAGTGACTCTGGTTCAGCAAAGCTTTCATGTATCTCCTGGCGAGCCCTGAGTGCTGCTTCTTCTTCCTCCTGACGACGTACTTTTGCTGCTTGCTGAGCTTCTTGATCACGTCTTCTCTTTCCTAGAGAAGTAGCAGCAGCATCGGTTATTTTGCTCGAACAAAATTGTTTGTGGTTACTGAGAGCCCTGCGAATGTCAAACTCTCGACTGCAACCCCTACATGTGAAGATCATGAAGAACAAAAGCAAAAACAAGCAGGTATAGTACCGTGCTAGCATAGACCAGAAGCTGGGCACCGGAAGTATAGCCTGAGGCCGGGACTCCTTGATAATGTTTTGATGTGACGTCATGGGTTGGAGACAATAGCCTGAGTATGGCCTGGCCGGATCATCGAATCATCCATCATCTGTTCAACACCGTGACCCGACCATCATTCAGAGACTGGGCATCCGCATACCCAACCCACAATGTCATCTGAACCATCCAACACATTAGAAACGTCAAGCCATTTTCAAGACTTACTTGAGGACCTAAACTCTGGTGTGAAAGCTGGCCGCAAAAGAAAGATCATGTAAGTACTGCATTGTACATTTGACAAAACGGTAGTATACATTGTCTCACTATGAAACAGCGGTCCGATTGGACCATATTTACGAGCGGCTCGATGGTTCCCTCTTGCAATTGACCCATTTGTCGTGCTGGAGAAAGTCTTATATGATGGTATGGAAGCTGAGTTTGCCGAATTGCAGGGGAATAGTGCCCCAGGTCAATGTGAAAATGTAAATAGGTGAGTCTGCAGCAGCCTGAGCTACTCCTAGTTCACACACTGATATTTTTGCTGCGCAGTCGCCAGAAGTCATGCGAGCAATATGACGCACTTGTGAAACTTGTGCCAACGTTTAGCGATGTCATATCAGGATTTGAGAAAGTTCCATCAGCAATGGACAACTTCATTCATGCGGTAATGCAATAAATCATTCTCAATTTTAATGTGTCTAACAGCTAGCCAGCTTTCCTCTGCAGCCAATGATGCCCGATCTGATGATACTGGAAGTCTAATGCGAGAGGGACTGGTCTACATGCTTAAAAACCCTGGGTCTGACCAGTTCAATCCCCCTCTGGTCAAGCAGCAAGGCAAGATGGCTCGTGGATGGAATCATCCTCAGACTGCGCGGCTGTTGTGCCCAATGCGGATGTTGGATATGTTTGACCAAGATCCCCAGTTCGTTGCACTCATTTTATTATATTTGATCTTGTGTAAACGTTACACCCTTAGCTCCTTTATGGAAAGGGTGAGGGAAGGCCAAATCAAGATCACGGCCGCAAAACTTCCGGCTTTCCTGTATGATCAGTCTGTGTTTGATTCCGCCAGGAAAAGTCGAGGTTGCCTTCAGGGATATTACCTCAAACGCGTATGTTTTCTTTTCTCATTCTTGTTGGTTGAATACCATTTCACAAAACTTGGGCAGGTTTTCCGTCATATATTCACAGGACCGTCCAGCGCCCTGTCCCCCAATGCTCGCAGAGGTACCAAGACTCCCAAAGGCCGACTTCACGGAATGTCGTCACCACTACCACGAGCGATTGCATATGCAGCCGTACAGGTAAGCCTGAGCATAAAATTCACGCGCTTACATTGAGCACTGAGCACTGACCGTTACCTCTTTAAGGCGTACTTCCAGCTTAGTTCCGCAACTGTGTGGTGTCAGGAAATTGAAGATCTCAGCCTTGTGGATCTCTATGATAAAGTGGCCGAAATGTTTGAAGGAAACAGCAACAAGGAATGGGTAGAAGAAACACTCCGGCTTTGGAAGTTGTAAGCTGCTCTTTCATTATCATCTATTTATATAGCTAAATACTCAGAGAGACTCCCGGACTCCGGCAACATGGGCGCTCCAGGGCCAGGAGGGATGTACAACCTGGCGCATTTGACGACAGTGAAGATGACATGGACGGGTTTTTTGATTCTGATGAGCATCCTCCTGATGTAGGGAACGGAGGCAACCATCGCAGCGCCGAAGATAATGTTCGGACTGAGACCAGTAACCGTGTGGACGGCACAAATGGTATCAATTTTCTCCCACACATGCATTTTGCCTACAGCTCATGCGCATCCTGATTCAGTGCCTAATAACAGCGAGTCAGCACACCAGGTAACCCCGACACAAGCCCAGCCAACACGTGCACTGCAGAAGAGAACGGGACGCCACTGACTCCAATCCAACATTCAGAAATTTCCCCCTCTCATATCTGCGTTACCATGTACATTCACACTTGCATCTGACTCATGCTCATAGCCAGATGTACTCTAGTTACCCTGTAATTTTAAGTTGATGCACTCATTACTGTGACTCGCCTCGCTGCTCTTCTGGTTAGAAACTGGCAAGACATTCCTTCACAAAGCCATTGCATAATTTATCTTCGCCTTTGCTCAGCCCCGATGCGCTATCTGCTTGATGCCTCCTTTCTGGTGTGAGCCAAGTTCTCTACATATGTAATGCCCATGTCGTCTGAGCCATTTAAGGAATGGGTTGAACAGTAGAGGATGGCGCACCCCATGCGAACGGGGATCAGTGTGATTGCAGACACGATAAAGAAACAGGGTTGGGCACAAGTGTGCGAGTGATAACAGATTTGGGAATACATGGATGGCTGCTACAGACACTGAATGATCTGACTGAGTTGGCGCACTATGGTTGCACAAGCTGCCTCGCCTACAGCCAGGCAGTGCTATCGTCTGAGCCAGTCACCATGTGGGCGCCATCCGGCAAGAACGGACTGAGGTAACCCAATCAGTGTGCCCCTTCAAGGGTTCACCGACTGGCTGCCCTGTGGTTGTATCCCACAGCTGAGTGACATACTGTTGTAGTGCGCTCCTCTCCTGTTGGGAATTTGCGTAATGGTGGGGGAGGCCTTGGTGTTGCGGATCGTCGGTGGGGGCAGGGTGTAAGATTCTTGGGTTGATGGATGTTGATGGATTACGCACACGTACAGTTGGCGCGCATGTGTCTTCATCTTCGTATGTCGTCTTCAGCGATAAACCGGGATGAGGAAGGAGAGCGTGGTGGGCGATGGCGAATGAGCATGGGGCATGTGTTCTTTGTTGTTGTCTTTCTGGGATAGCGCATGTCGGCCTAGTCGGAGGGACAAGGCTGGGAAGGATGGTGAGAGGAGATTGGCGGTGGGGGCGTTGATGGATGTTTTGAGAGGGAGGCGGGGGAAAGAGAAGTGTAATGGAGGTGGCGAGCGGTGGTCAAGGCTTGGCACCCTTGCAACTCAAGAACGGTCGAATGAACTTAGGCTCACGATC